TAGTCTCTAACAAAACTCAAAAGTACTGAAAGCTCACCACGTTTGAACGCTAGGTTCACGTTCGAACGATCCTTTTAAAATCCTTCTACACACGTTCGAACGTCATTTACGTTCGAACGTCAACTCTCAGGCTATATATACCTAGTTAGTCTTCTCCATTTCAAAAATCCCAAAACCCTTGAAAAAACTCTAAACCCTAGGGTGACCTTTCATTACCTAAGCCTCAAAACCCCATCCATTTCCAATCTTCACCCAAAATAAAGCAACCTAAACACATTTCACCCCATTTCTCACCCTTTTTTCACCAAGAAATCAAAGTTTTCAAAACCCAAAAACCCCCAAAACCGAAAACAATGCCTCCAAGAATGAAAATGCCAACAAGACGGGGAGTGATCAGTCAAGAGCCCAATTTTGTGGAGGAGGTGGTCGAGGAGCGAAAGGGGAGGCCACCCATTGTCTGAAGATATGACAAGACCCGATTCCCTATGGCTCTCAAGGTGGATAGGTACGAGAATTTTTACCACTCAACCAATTGTTTGTAAACAATCCATCGAGTTGCTAGATTTTGTGGAGTTAGGCATTCATGCCAACATGGAGGAAAGAGGATGGAGTATGTTTTTGAGGAATGGTGGAGAAGCCATGAAGGACTTGGTGCGGGAGTTTTACTCCAACGCCGAGATCATCAATGGAGTGATCAAGACCTATGTGAGGGGGACCCACATCAATGTGGATATGGATTATATCGTGGAGATGCATGCCGAACCAAGGGTACCGAGGCCTACCTACCCCCTGAGGAAGAACGTGGCGATGGACATCGTGGGAGCGGAGTTGACAGGCGTGGACACATTCTCTTGGGCGAGTTGGAGATTTCTTCGACAAGGTGAGTTGAATGATAAATATAAGATGTTGAATTTGATAGTTGTCTTCGACCTTGCCCCGATTGGACTAAAGAACGAGATACTTCCAAAGATGGCCCAATTGCTATATACAATTAGAAGGGGCCATAGCATAAATCTTCCTATGTTGATCCTGACAGAGATGATAAAGTGGTGTGACGTGAAGAGAAATTCATTCCCCTTCGGCACTTTGGTGACGGAGATGTGCTTGGAGCATGGGATCCACGTCAAGCTATAGATGGGGTACAGAAGCCGATGGGGCCACTGAACAAAGCTTCCTTCAGGAGGAGCTAAGGTCATAGTGGCGGCCGGAAGCTAGACAGGAGGTGCCGCCTGCCCGAGGCAACGATGAGATGCAAGATGTGTTGGATGAGGAGGAGGAGAGAGAGTTAGATGCTGAGAGAGCCTAGGAGCAAACTCAGAAGGAGGTAGAGCCCAACACCAGCATCCAGCGGTCACTTCAAGAGGTCATGCTTAGCGTAGAAGCTAAGCCAGATGAGATTCTTTGCCTTCTGAGGGGTAGAGCTGGTGGAGCTAGCGGAGAGTAATTTCTTTTCTTTAGTGTGGTTGTGTATTTGTTACTTCTTTTGTGAATGATTTTAATCTTTTGTTTTTGTGTTAAACTATCATGTTTTGTGAAATAAATGGTTCAATTTTTTTCACTTTTATCTTTTTAAATGCATGTGTAGAATTAGTACTATATTGTTATTTGCTAATGAATGATGGAACAAATGTGGATTCTGAAACTGTTTGTTAAAGTGACAAATCACATGATCGGTTTGACAACTAACTTAGCAATCTAGACTTACCACCACAGATCCTTGAAATATGATATTTTCTCTATGCTTAAAATGTCAAATGTACATTGGTATTTGTTATTCTTAAGGTACAAGATGACCAGACTCAAAAATAGAATCAATATATAACTAACATTTCATGAACAACCCGACATAATCAGTAGAGATAACAAAGAATACCACGGTAAGTTTCGAGTCTTACGATGCTTTTGAGTGGAAATCAACATGTACTCAAGTAAGGTTTCTCACTGTCTATCCTTAAATAATCTCATTAAACTTGTTTTGATTGACGCAACTAAAGCGATCTATTGACATATCCCACAAGCAATCTGTTCATATAACACATACATGTGCACATACTTGAGAAAGTACCTTAGGTCACCTTTGATTTAATTTTGAGCCTTAGTCATTTCTTTTACAAAATTATATCCCTAGTTAGTCGTGATTGAGCCTTTAATGTATGATCTCTTTTTCAAGAAACCCATATGCTAACCGAGCCACAAGAAAATATACTTAACATACCTTACTATCTAATTTTCTTACACTCACTTCTTAATTAGTATGATACAGAAAAGCAAGAGAAATAGAAAAGACGATGTGGCTACTGTTCAATGAAAGAAAAGTCGGTGGGAACAATCGAAAAAGAAAAGAGATAGAAAAACAGGAAATGACCAAGAAAGTAAAAAATGAGAAAAATGAAAGAAAGAAATATCATATCAATTTTGAAAAACTAGAAAGAGGTATGCCACACTACATAAAAAAAATGATAGCATTTGACGTTATTTCGTTAGCCACTGACCTCTAGCCACATTACAACCTATAAAAAGCCCTAGTTGATCTCAAGTCTGATGCATGTATAAATCATCGACTAAAAGTTGGGGTATGTTAAATAGTATTTCTTTATTTGTATCAATATTCTACCATGAGATTATGTCAAACATGATTAGTTTGTTCCTCAGATTTCAATCCTGTGCTAATTGTGCATGTGATTTTTTCGATTGGCTATCTTCAGATCAGATGCCCTTTGTGAGATAAGTCACTATAATCGGAGCGATATTTTTTGAATGAGAGCATTATAAGAGATGTTTGTGAAATCAAAGCTATCCATGGAAGGTGATAAAGTGGAATGTTGGTTATATAACAATTCTTGTTCCTAGAATGATCATTTCTACTATACAGGGAATTCTAAATGCCAAAGTGACAAATGCTAATTTTTATATAAAATCAATACCTATGAAAGAGGAATGTGTGGGATATAAGTCGAGATTGAGGGTTAGGTGTCCCAACAACCATGATGCTAACTCACTTTAACCAACAAACTCATGTACACATCTGTTTGACTGAAGTTTGTGGGTAACTTCACTGAAAATCCTCACGAAACAACACTCGTCTGCTAGGGTATATTTGGTGGTTTAACGGCTTGTTGCATATGCTAAATGTAACCAGATGACCTACAAAAATGGTACTTTGAATAAATTCGCATTCAATTGTTGTTGCATTGCTAAAGACTAGTAATATTTAGGTTGGGGGGTGTGATTAGTAGTTAAAATTACCATATCACTATATCTTTTTTAAGACTAATTATATTTGATAGAGTTTAAATGATGACATTTCAGGATATAAATTATATAAAGATCCAAAGGTAATAAATATCAATTTTCATGCAACAACAGCATGCCCTGGGACAAAATTGGAGAAGGTTGAAACAAAGCAAGAACGTTCGAACGCCAACTCACGGTCGAACGTTCCCTTGAATTATGTCAAGACCATACTGCTGAAATATTGAGACATAGCGTGTTGCAGCTAACAAGAAAAATACTGAAGTACTTGAGTACCACGTTCGAACGTGGTCCTGAACTATTAAGGACCAGGCTAATGAGTGCAAGGGCAGTGATTCAAGGCGTATCGAAGTAGCTCACACACAGGAACAGAGGCTACTTGAGTAGGAGGTTCAAACTATATCTGGTGTTCGAACGCCCATCAAGCAAAGACAAGAGACACGTTCGAAAGCCAAACAACGTTTGAACGTTGTTCCCAGACAGGTTACAGAGTGGTTGATTTTCTCTTCGAACATTGAGACTTACACATGATTTTAAAGGCATTGTACTATTCCTCTACACTCTCTTGCCCCCTCCTCTTTGCCGATAAATACTCCCATTATGGGAGCTTCAAAAGGGGGATTGGAAGCTTAGAATAAACCAACATTTCTTAGCTAGTTGTAGAATTAGTCTTAGACTTAGGCTTCTTTTATAGAGGGAAATAGATCATCTTTTAGTTGCAATGAAAACCCTCCAAAAGTGACTAACTTTCTTCTATTTTCATTGTTAATTTCTCTCACTTCTATTACTTGAGTTTCTTTCTTCTCTTAGAGGATTAAAACTTTTCTATTTTTCTAGAGCTTTACCAAAACAGTGAAAGGTGAAACGTGATTCACTCATTCTTCATCGAAGATCTACTCCGTGTGTAGTGTATTTTACCTTATAACTCCTCCACTTGGAGGGATGAGCATCACTCACTTTTCTACCTTTACCAAAGTTATGAAGAGTGAATAGTTTCTCATTAAATCTTTAATAAGAGGTAATGAACATGTATAAATCATCCAAAAGTTATATCTGTGCATTTCAATTACGCTTAATGTTTTATATTTCACTTGTTTACTAAATGATTGACTGCATCTAACAAAGCTAAGGTACTTTGTATAATTGTGAGTAATTTCTATAATACAGATAACTCTTGCATAGAAAGACTCATTGGTTCAAGACAAGTACCCCGGCTAGATCTTCATAACTACCCTTCAATCTTCACCATTATCGTGTTTTATTTAAAGAATGAAACATTAATACCATGGTTGGATACCTTGTAGAAACACTTGCTTGTTTATAGACAGATTGAGTCTCGACACAGACAATTCTTGTAAACTTCTAGAAAGACATCGGAATCATGTTCTTAATTATCACAATCCATCTTTATCTTTCAATTAACTTGTTGACACGAGGGTTAATTGAATTACCAAGCACAAGTATAATAAACCGAATAATCAACTACATGTCTAGATCCTCGAACTAAAGAGTGACTGTTCACATTTGAATTTATCTTATATCTTGTCTCGAAAATCTTCTTGGAAAGAATTATATATTTAGCTCAAGAAAATCTCTAAACATCACCACTATAAATCTCAAAGGTTACAATCACATGGTCTCTATCATTGCATACTTCAAAACACCAACAATAGTTCCCTATGGATTCAACTACGGACTTAACCGGATTATTACTACAACTTGATCGCCAGCACTTGGGTGTACACATTTCAGATCAAGTCAGCGCCCTTGACCATATTGCTCAGCCTAAAAAGAGAGTGGTCTAAAATAAGTCCCTATCACTCTCTCTCCTCTTCCATTTCCCCTTTGGAACTAAGAAACTTTGAAATAATTAATCAAATGAATTGACAATGAACTCAAATCAAGCACCTTGGCAAGGTGTGGCGGTGACTAAGCATAGAATGCTGAGTGTTGTGTCTGTGTTTCAGGTGCAGTATTGTTTGATTCTCTAACTCTGGAACTTCTAAGGGTTTGAGACTATTTGCAAGGATTTATGGTAACCTTCACAATGTATTTCTTTAGTTCTAATTTTTTTTTAAAAAATATTCCAAATTAAACAGCCAAAAAAAAAGCACCAATCCAACCACATCCTAATTCCTATGTATTTGGACACACATACTTGAATCCTATTCATTAGTTCATGGAAATCCAAGGTCACATCGATAATTAAAATCACAGATAATTTAGTCTCTTCACATTCCCTTGACCTAGGCTATTCTTTTCGTCAAGTAGTGTCTTAAACTTGAACCAAATCACTCCTCAGTATTGCAGTCATTAGCACTGACTGCACATAGAAAACCATCTCATCTCACTTTCTTGCAAGATTGTGGAATTTTTCTATCCTTTTCTTTTTTGGTGAAAAAAATAAGCTGAGTGTTCCCCTACTCCAGAATTGAAACACATTCTTTACTGTAGTTTCCAAGCATTTTGTATAGTTTTCCTAATCAATTTTGTAGACTCGAGTGGCGTTTTCAATAAATATCTTAAACCATACAACCTTTGCCTAAGATGTGAGCTAGCTCATCCATGCCAATGCAGAAAGGTAGGACTACAAGCCGATCCTCACACATGCCTATTTTGGTTAGAGGTTCTATGGAAGACCATCTTTTACCATTCCTGCTCTCTCTCTCTCTCTCTCCCAACCCACAAAAAAAAAAAAAACACCACCACACATCAATGAATGACTATAATCCTATGCCATTATACTTGAAACATGAGCAACGTATTATATAGATTAGCTAGAACAACAACTAGCATTAGTGATGTTGACACTAATTGAAGAGATGTCCAAACTAAAACTCACCTGTCATAGCTAGAACCTATCAGTGGAATGGTAACCATCTCTTCCTGGGATATCTTGAGCTTAGGTGCTTGCAAGATGTATCGAAGGTCTGCAGCTTGGCGTCGGATGCTAACACTAGGATGCTTCCTTTCCAACTGCTGATAAAGAGCAATGCAATCCGCATGGCGATTATTAGCCTCATAGGCCATGGCAAGCCATATTTGAATCTGAAAATAAGAACCATAGTTTTCCCATCAGTACATGATTCAACAAGTTCATTAAACTCAACCAATTTTCAAAAGAAACCACGTTTTATCGAAGATAAAACCAACCTCACCACCAAACAGAGTCGATCTTGGAATGATAGTGAGAGCACCTTCCAGAAATTCAATGGCTCGTCCATACATACCCTTCCCATAAGCCCTCTGACCCAATTCAAACATCAACTGTGCCGTTTTCCTCCTCTCTGCTTGCTCTTTAGCCACCTACTCTCTCATACGAAAACAACAAAACTAGCTTCACTACAGGCGACAACAATTCACTACAACACGACAACAATTATACAAGAACAAACATATGTCCCAAAATCTTCACAGAACAATCAACTTCCCCAGCCAGCCACTATTTGTTAAATGACAATAACATTCTAAAATTGGCACAATCAAATATCTACTTCTACCATAGTTATGAAATGCATAACAAAAAAATACTATGCCCCTTATACTGGATACGACACAGCTGAGAAAAACACAGAGGAAATGCTTAAACTGCTTAATTTTCTTGCTTGGTTGCTGAGAATCAAGCACATTTTCTTTCCATCTCTACAACTAAAGTGTAGAGCCCAAATGATTTCAGATCAACAAATTGAAAAATTAAATTAAATCTCACCTTTTCAAGCTCTTTTTTGACTCTCATCCGCTTCTCTTCCTCCGTCTCTTCTTTTCCTTCTCCCTCTCCATCTCCCTCATCTCCCATCCTGCTCTGCAACTCCTCAGCTTTCTTCTCCAACTCTCTCATCTCCTCAATCTCCTTCACTCTCCTCCTCATCTCCTTCTCCCAATCAAACTTCTCATCTCCTTCCTCTTCCTCATACCCATTTCCATTCCCGTTATCATCGTCGCTCGACCCGTAATCCACCGCATTAACCTTCGAATTCGCCTTCCCTCGAACACCAACTCTCTGATTTCGACTATCTTTCTCGAATTCGAAGCTGTTTGTGGAGATGGAAGGGTGAAGTGGGTCTTTCTTGAAGAGGTTCAAAACGGCGACGTCGGAGGGTACCGGACGGACCTTGCGGTCTGATACTATGGTACGTGGAGAGTTCACGTCGAGTAACAGAGCTATATTTCCGACCACGACGGCCATGGTGACCCGATAGAGCTGTGGGGGGTGTGGAAGAGGAAGAGGAAGAGGAAGAGAAGTGGTATACGGGAGTTTCAGTTGAAGAGACAACCGGAGATATTTTGTTGAATGTGGAAAGGACTGAAATGCCATTAGTGTTATTTATTTGAGTTAAATTACATTTACATACCCCGAGAGTTATACAAAACCATCCAGCCACCCCCTAATATTTATAAAATAACACAAGATTATAACATTAAGATTATAACCCCCTAATATTTATAAAATAACACAAGACTATAACACTAAGATGGTCTCTTTTTTTCTTTTTTTGTTCAACAGATGTCCAAACTAGCTTACGAGCATTTTTGATTAATCCCCTCTTTAGTGTTAGGTCAAAGGCAGGGCATTCACACCCAAATTTGAGTATTGATGAGAAATAAGTCTTTGCATGATCTGTCTCTAAAGAATAGCTAAAATTCAAAATCAGAATGTCTGTATTTTTTTTTTTACCAATGTTAATTAGAATTGAAAATTGATAGATAATAGTCCTCTAAATTGAAGCAAGAGGAACTTCGACATGACTAAATCAATTGATTATGAATCAAATTAAAATAATTGAACAACTAACGTAGCAATCAACTGTGCAATGAATTTCATATCAAATATACTATCTAACTTCACTAATGATGAAAAAACTGAAGCCAACATGCAACAGGATAACATTCACCATCACAAATGAACCCACCACTTCTCTACAACCAATGTATCCACCACCTTCATCGGGCTAGTATAAATAACTAATCTAAAACTTATCATATTAGTCATAAAAAATCATTACCAACTCCATATTCTATAACTGCTGTCGAAATAACCAGTATCATTATTTATCACATGTGAAACTTAGCATCACCAACAAATACAAATCATGCCAAACTAATAACTGAAAGCCACAACTAACACCACCATCCAAAACCATGCCACTGAAATCCCTACATATACCTCAATGTAAAACGATTGAGGGATAATCTTACAATTAGTTAACAAGTAAAGGGGGTGTGAACATAATTTCTGTTCTTATTTGACTTTTATCTTTATTCAATTTACAACCTGTCGTGGTAATTTCACCATATAATGTTTTTTTTTTTTTTTTTTTTGCGGGGGATGGGAGCGGGTTATTTGGTCATTGGGACTGTGGCTTAATGTGAGGATGGCCGTGTGGCAGCTGTTACAGTCTCGAGTTTTCTCACGGCAAGGAGACCTAAAACTATGTCCGTCAAACACGATACTATAAAGGGAATTCTTACATTGAAACGGCCTCGTTTTGTTATGAATTAACTAAGAGCTACTGTTAAATTCACAGAAAAGAGATGTTTTGTTTGAATTTTGACAATTATTTAGAGTTAGGTTACGATGAATAAATATTCTACTTTCAACGTAGACAACTATTTTTAACGGGATCAAAAAAAAATTAATCAAAATACAAAAAATTGATCCGAACACCTTGAATCGATCTATTGAGAACCCTACGTTTAAAACATGTAACATAAATCGCTGAATGACTTGGGCACTTAGTTGTTTATTATCATACAGTTATAAAAATATGACAATTTTAATATTTTATTATGTTTCTATTGAATTTTTTTTTCTTCTTTGACAATGTTATTATTTAGAGTGCAAAAATATGATACGATAAATTAACACGAGACGAAATTAGAGAGTTTGAGGGTTTATTTGGTTTGCATTTAAAAAAATAGTATCCGAAAATAATTTTTGAGAAAAGTTTTAAGAATATAATTTTGATATTTTTTGAGATAAAAAATTTGTTTGGTTAGATGATTTTAAAAATAATTTTACAGTACAGAAAATAGTAAATCCTGTTTGGACAACCTAAATATATGTTCGAACAGTAATTCAAACATTAATAAAAAAATATAAGAAATTTATTTTTTGATTGATAATTTCATAAAAAAAATTCAATAAACCAAACTTTAAAATATAATATATAATATATAATATATAAATATTATATTATATTATATATTATAATATATGAGAGAGAGGAATAAGTAAAAAAAAAAAAGAAATGAAGAAATTTGCTACTAAGGAGACTCGAATAACAGAATTTATTAAAGTCTAAAATTGTTCTCTTTGTTTTCAAAATTTTTTAAAGAAAACTCTGAAAACAAGTTAGATTTTTTTTTTCTGTTTATTTGATTCAAATCTCATTTTTTTTCAAAATTGTGAAAACAAAAATGTTAAACAAACAAGTTTTGAGTGTTTTTGAAATTTTGCAAAAAAAAAACAGTTTCCGAAAAACTAACCAAATACGGCTTGAGTTTTTCTTAAGTTACTCATTTTATAAACGAGAAGTGAATTGGATATAACACGATTAATAAATAAATAATTTAAGAGTAAAATTAATTAAAAAAATAATAAGACACGACTCATTTATAAAATTAATTTTACATAAGATGAACTTAATATTACACGATTTGTTAAATATAAGTTAATATAAATAAAATATTTTTTTGATAAAAACTCACTAAAAATTGACAGACTCACGCCTAGGGGTGCAAGTGTAATTTGGCGCGACCCAACTCTAATTCAATGCAAAAAAATAGGATTTATGTTAAAATTTTTAATACTTGAATTGGATCTGGACAGTAAAACCCAACCCGAATTAAATTGGGCAAGTATTGGGTTGTTGGCTAACTAGAGTTAGAATATATATTCGCTCTTTAGAGGTCAGACTTTCACTTCACTTTAAATCTTCACCCCTGCGTCTCTATCACTCTCAAATCCCTCTGTCACCTGTCCCTCCTCCTTCTCTTTTCATCTGCGCATTGCCTATCATCTTAAATCACTTAAAAAAATTAGATGTACACTTGAAAAAATCAAATTTACAGTTCAAAAAATTAACTCGAATTAACTAACTTAAGTCTAACCCAATTTTTAGCTCAAAATCTATCTGAATTAAATAATTCGAATTCAACCTAAATTTAATCAAATTAAATTCGGACAGTACTCGAGTTAAATAACTCGTGTCGAGATAGAATTAGAATTAAAATTAAAGATTATATATTTATAGTTAAAGTCTGCACCCCCACTCACGACGCCTGAGGCGTATACGTCTCAACTCAAGTGGGGTTGCCTCATTGTTTTTATTTTCTTTGTAAAAATTGGCCGCGCGACGGTCAGACACTCTCAAACTCCTCACGTCTCTGTTATTGGATGATGTATCCGTGGACCGTGAGACGACACAAGCACAGAATGGCGAGAAAAACAGAGTGAGTGAGGAAGAAAATTGCTCGTTATCAAAAACCCATCACCATAATCATGTCTCTTTCTCTTTCTATTTCTAATCGTCAATCATATCTCATTTTTTCTCAAACTATTCAACCCACACCACCAATCTCTGTTAAAATTCATCCCAAAATATCCTATTCGCCCACCAAAACAAAATCTCAATCTTCCTTCTCTCTATCTTCTTCTTCCGAGAGAAGACTTGGTTACATTTCGGCTTCGATTAATGGGGTTTGTATGCAAAATTATTCAGAAGAATCTCCGAAACTTAACGGAGAAAACAATGTTGAAAATAATTTGTATGAGAAGCTGAGAAGATGGGTTGGTCTTATAAGATCGATATTGCCTGGAGGAAGTTGGTGGAGCTTCTCTGAGGACGTCCAAGTTGTTATGACCGCCAAACCGGTCACTGTTCTCCGGGCTCTTAGTAAAATGTGGGAGTTAATAGCTGTAGATCGATGGGTCATCTTCGCCGCCTTTTCTGCCCTAATTCTCACAGCTGTATGTTCTTCTCCGAGTCTTTTTTTTTGTTGATTATGATAATTATCTGCCTATCATACATAGATAGTGATTCTGCACTAACTGAATTGTTTAACTGTATTGTTATGGTTCAGCTTTCAGAGATTTCCATTCCACATTTCTTGACAGCTTCAATCTTTTCGGCACAAAGTGGTGAAATCTCAGTTTTCCACCGGAATGTGCGACTCTTGGTATTGCTGTGCTTCACTTCAGGAATTTTCAGGTTAATAAATTGCATGGTGATACCCTCAAAGCACCCATCATTGTGTTCAAAATGCAAACTAGTAATTGGCTCTTGTTTCATACTGATGCTTCTGCTAAATACCTTCATGACTGATTCAATGGAAATGATATGTATGTTCATTTGAAATGCTTATATATTTTGCGCAATTAAAAATTGAGTCAGAGTTGCTTATAGCTCGCCATGTATATATCTAGTTGATTCCATCTTTAATTTGAATTCAAAAGCAACCTGGGCAATTGTGCGAATGTATACTCGAGTTGTTTTTAAATCCAGATGATCTGTTGCCTAGGCAATAGTAAATTGCACTTACTGTTTTTAGGTATGGACTTAAGGTTACTTTTTGGCCAAGTGTCGACCCACTTAATATTAGTATACTTGGTGATTCAATCCTAGGCAATAGATGCACACAATTTGATCTATGTGCCCTGCCAAACTTGGAGTCCTTGGGGATATCATAAGGGATTTATTCCGATAATTGCCCAATCCATGTGACCCAGTAGGATTGTATGTGCCCAATAGGATTAGTAGAGTCTTCTAAGAGGCCTAGATTCATCTTTGCTAGCACCCAAATAAAAACAACCACATGTAATTATTTTATTGCACCAAACTTGATAGCTAAACTGTGTTAAAGTTGAAGATCCAGGCATGTAACTGCAACAGTAAAATATGCTATTGGCCGATCCATCCTATAAATTGTACTTATTTTTCTTGGAATTATTGAATTGACACTTTGTGGAAGAAATGCTATTTACAAAAATCTTAAATTTTTTCTGATTATCACTTTGGCACCCTTGCTTCTTTTCTTCTTTACTCAGGAAGAGAAGTGGAAATTACAAGTCGGTGTCGTGCTTCTTATTTATTTTTTCTTCAAGTCATTTGCGCCCTTCAGACAAGAACACTAATGATATTATATTTGGAAAACCCATGAGAGGGTTAGGAATGAGCAAATGCACACTTTAATTTTTCTTATTTTGCTGGGAAAAAGTTAAGTATAGAGTAAAGGAACAAGAGAAAAGAAATTAAGCTAGCTAATTCCTATATAAGTGGGTATCTCCCTGAGCACTCCTTCACTCACTAAGTTTGGAAGCTGATGATTTGGAAGAACACCCATGTACTTGAGGGCTAATCCCCATCTTGCTAGCTCTTGTGCTACTGTATTTGCATATCTGTAAGCATGTATCATGTTTCAATCAGGATGATTCTTGAGAATTTGTTTAAGGTCTTGGATTATTGTCAAAATCTGCCATGGAGTCTTTACATGTGGAAGCATGATTGCGTGAACCACAGTTTGGGAGTCACTTTCAATGATGACGTAGTTCCAGTTTTGCCTTTCTGCCCAAAGAGCTGCATCTCTCGTTGCTGAGGCTTCTGCCATGAGAGGATCAATGCCTGATTCCAGAGTGTCTTGAGCTTCTCTGGCTGATCCATCATGCACACTTTATTTGCCAGTATGCTGGTGGATGAATTTGAATGTGCTTGTAATTGTATGGAAGGAAGTTCTAACTTTGAGTAAGGGTGTCTCTTTCTTAGCATGTACAGAAGCTAGAAACTCATAACCAAGCTGTAGGAAGTTCCTCCATTCATTCGTGATTATCTTGCTCATTACATGCATTAAGACATTCATTTGAGGAATTCCTTTATCATTTTGCATTTTTGGCTATTGTATTAATTAACATTCTGTGTCATACTTCATCTACTCTGTCAATGATATTTTTGCCATTGGGATGACAGCTGCTGACCCTGCTTTTTTATCTGAACTTACAGTGGTGTAAGAGGTTGCTGTTTTGGCATTGCAAATATGATACTCGTGAGTCAGAAATCATGATTCAATTTTAGTGAAGAGTTTTATGTTCCAGGGGCAAGGGTTCCTGTTTATAGGTGTTTCCTCCTTTTGGATGAAGCAGACTTTTTATACTGGTCATGTCCTGTCATACCATTCAATTTTTCTTAAATGGGCTGAAATAGAAGCTCATAATGTCATGTGAATTCCTAGCCATTAGCTGTTAGTATTTGGGGTTTTCTCAACTATTTAGTGTTAGTTGGTTTGCTTTTATCCCAAGAAGTGGCCAATATAGTCCTAGAGGTAGTAATCCTCTCTTCTACATGGCTGGACCAAGTGGGGTGGACTTTGTGTTTTCTTCACAATGCTATGCATAGTCAAGAAATGCCAATGATAATACTTTCTTGAAATTTGCAGGGATTATTATTTTGATGCTGACTATGTACTCCTATCCCATGTGCAGGTCAAGCGAATGAGGGAAAAATTGTACTCTGCTCTTCTTCTTCAGGTTCTGAGATATATAATTAATCATAGTTAAAAATATCCTTTCTTTTGCGTGGAAGATTTTTTTAGGCAAGTGCTTATTTTGTGGTTACTTGTTTGTAGGATATATCCTTTTTCGACTCTGCAACGGTTGGTGATTTGACGAGTAGACTCGGGGCAGATTGTCAACAAGTATCACGTGTTATTGGGAACGACCTTAATTTCATATTGCGCAATCTTCTTCAGGTTGCTTCTCTGAGCAAAATCCTAATGTTTTCCTGAGTTTGCTTACCCGTTGAGAATCTAGTTCCTATATCCTAATTCAGGGAACAGGCGCATTGATCTACTTGTTGTATTTGTCATGGCCACTCGGATTATGTACAATGGCAATATGCTCCACTCTAGCAACCATTATGCTGTTCTATGGCCAGTAAGATTTCATGATCCTTTGTGTTTTTAAGCATAAAAAGTAAAAGCACAGGGATTAATGTAATTTCTTGGTGGAGAGAGATTCTTCAAAATGAAAGACTCAATGATGAGAAACACCTAAGCTACAATTTTAGTCTCTATATTTTAAAGGATATCAGCAGCGACCAGTGTTGGTTTCCACTAATCAATGGTTAACTAGTATTATAATTGGAAAGCAGAGATGGTGGGTGGGACTAATACACACTAGTCACTGTTCCTTAACCAATCTTGGCTATCTTGGGCATTGGTGTTGGAAGTGCTTGGGGGTACTGGGAACAAGTTCAAGGCTGGAACTTGGTTTTTTGACTCATCATTTTTTTCCCAATTCTTGTTCTCGTGGCTGCTAATTGTCTCTTATATCTGCTAATTTTGTAGGTACCAGAAGAAAGCAGCAAAAATAACTCAAGAGTTCACTGCATCTGCCAATGAAGTAACATCGGCCTATGAATCTGTAATTATTTTGAGAAGACACTGTTGCTAAAAAAACTTTATAGTTGGACGTTTTTTCTTTATGTACTATAGGTTGCACAAGAGACACTCTCTTTGATGAGGACTGTTCGAGTTTATGGAACCGAACAACAAGAATTTGGAAGGTCAATGCGACTAGTATTTATTTCTTTTCTCAGTATTTTATTTCTTCTGAACATTCACTTTCTGGAACACAAACTCATCTAGGAATGCAAATATTAAGAAATATTTGTAATAATAAGTTGAAACTTTGTATTTAACCGGTCATTTTAATTTGTGTTTTGGATAGGTACAAACATTGGCTGGAGAAATTAGCTGACATAAGCTTGCGACAGAGTGCTGCATATGGATTCTGGAGCTTCAGCTTCCACACTCTCTATCACGCCACACAGGTGAAGCTCTTTCTCGTATTTTCACAGTTTTCAAGGAAATGAGGATTTTTACTTGTCTCTCTTTTTCTCTCTCTCCAAATGATTATCTGATAGTTTCTGCAACATGATAGTTTAGGCTAACTGCACATTCCTAGAGCTTGAATTAGCATCTACATGCTATACAAGGTTCAGGAAAGCTAGGTTGGGGCCAGCTTTTTCAGCAAGCCTTGAACTTTTATCTAATGCAACCCAGCTTACCTGAGCTTCAGTCCTCGGAGACTATGTATATTATGCTATTTAGGAGGCTCCGATTTACACGAGGGAAGAATGATGGTTGGAAAGAAAAAAAGGAGAGAATTGTTGTATATACGGCATCTATTGTTTACTCTTCATTGTGGTGCCACATGAATAAGGATCAGTTAGGACTTAGGCGTGCATTTAAATTTCAAATCAAGTACTCCTTTAATACATACATGGAAATTGATTTCCAGTAAATAATTTGGTCACCATTTCATTTCCTGTATTCACAATGAACTTCAAACTATCTGCTTAAATAGTTTCATGAACTTCAACCTATCAACCTAAACATGTTTTCCGCAATCTTCTAATATAGGGGTCTGTGGGAAATTGGTACGTCCATGTTTTCCTTCGAGGGTCAAATTCATTCCCTTCTGAAATCTTTGCCAAAGCTGTTGACACACTCCATAGACCACTGCTGTATGCTCCATTTTGGCAGTTGATTCAACAAGTCTATGAATGATGCGGATCTAGGAATTTATAATTGGTCATGGGAGTAGGAATTGTTGAAGATGGCTTCATAACAATAAAACTATCAACATCACAATATAACTATCAACATCAACTGATTGGCTGTATATATAATGGATCATTGGAACTGGTCTTCATTTCAACATCTATAAGTTAACTTCTACTTTACTGCACATATTTATATTTATAGGTTATTGCTGTGCTGATAGGAGGAATGTCTATTCTGGCTGGCCATATTACGGCAGAGCAACTTACAAAGTTCATATTATACAGCGAGTGGCTGATATATTCAGCATGGTGGGTGGGGGACAACTTGTCATCATTGATGCAATCAGTCGGGGCAAGTGAAAAAGTTTTTCAATTGATGGGTCTTTCATCTAGCAACCAGTTCATTATGAAAGGCAAGCAGTTTTTGCTGTTTTTGGTAAAAATATCCTGATGTTTTCAATGGACAGTGCCCACAACTCAGATAATCACACTTATTATTTGTTAATAATGCTTGAATTTCCATTTTGAACTGTCAAGTTTTTACCCCTCATTCTTTGTGAATATTAAATGATAGGTTGCATGAAACGTCTCTTAAAAACTCACTTCATTTTACTTTTAAGTTATTATTTTCAGTTATTTGGACAGTTCTGTGGTAGACCCCTGTAGCAACATGGGCCTTGGTATTTTCCCTCATGTTGTCCAACAAAGAGCTGGACTTTGGTCCTGCTGGCTTACTTACCACCATGAAGATATATCTTGTGCCTAACTGCCTATTTTAGGTGGCAGATGCCAAAATTCCCAAATTTCCAAGTGGTTGGGAAACTTCTAAGTACTAACCATACGTGTTTTTCCCGAAATTACATCAAAGTTTCACTGTTGCAATTGTTGATTTATGTGGTGGTGATTTTTTTTAATTAGAACTTCCATACCGGAAAATAGCCTTTTTGCATTCCTTTTTTCTTTACAGGTTTAGTTCCAGTAAATCCGTTTAATCAATAGGGTACACATATCGGATAAATGCTTATGTTCCACCCGTCTCTGTCAATTCACCTTGCATTTGAGTTTTGATGTTTCACTCTGCTTAACAGAGCCTGAGTTCAAATCACACACACCTCTCTCTACCAGCTTAAGCTTATAGATTAGATGATTGTTAACTGATGCCAATATTTTGCAGGATCACAGTTGCAAAGCTTGCTCGGACGTATAGAGTTTGTGAATGTTTCTTATTACTATTTTTCAAGGTCAATGGTATGTTAGTTATCTTCAACGTTATATGAATTGAATGTGCTTCCTTACTTTGACACGCTTATACTGTGATAAATTGGGTAACCATTGCTGTTAATAAAGGAAATTTACCTTTCAATGATCCTTTGGTATGAACTACGTCATAGCATTTACTTGAATTATAAACTCCAGACTGCAATACTGTTTTATATTTGTTGCTTGCTTTTCCTAACAATGTACCAAGTTATCTATTGGTTTGATTTAAAAATACTTGTCGACTGAGCAGGTACCTGTGCTGCAGCATATAAACTTCTTGGTTCATCCTAATGAAGTGGTTGCAGTTGTAAGTCAGCTCTATTTATATGCTTTTGTTCCATCAACTACATCCTTAAGAAATACATGGGTCCTTACTTTGGTATTGTTTAGGTCGGTCTTAGTGGCAGTGGGAAAAGCACTCTAGTGCACCTTATGCTCCGTCTTTATGAACCAACAAATGGTCAGGTAAGATTCTTTCTCCTTGAGATGTACTTTGACTGTGCATTTTTTTTTTTTGATAAAATTATGAACTTCATGAATTAGAATACATCTGCATCAACTGTTAGGAAGCTCTTTCGGAATTCCTGTGAGCTTCTTGAATTATTGCCCTCCCTCTGGGTCTTGCACACCTCACAAAACACACCTCACAAAAGTTAAGTGATGTCAATTTTTTTTTCTTTTTTGAGATAAAATTAAGAACTTTATGAAGTAGAATAAATCTGCATCAATTGTTAGGAAGCTCTTTTAGAATTCCTACGAGCTTCTTGAATAATGGACCTCCCTCTGGGCCATGCAAACCTTGCAATAATGGAAGTCTTCACAAATACATTGAATATTATGTATAACATAAATATCGTACAAACATTTCTATTTTGTTTTTTTTTTTTTTTGGGTGGGGGGGAATTACTAATTAAAATAAGGGAGTCCTGCCAAAATCCCATGAGCTTTCTCCAATGCAAGTCTAACATAACAGCCATACCCTCTGCATGAAGAGCTGAAGATGCGTGAACCAAATCAGCTCCAGAAACCACCTTTGGATCCATGAGGCTCCTAGATAGTGAAGCCAACACCAAATCCCTCCTTATCCTTCCTGGTTCCATCAACCGAACGACTGAAACTATTTACAGCAGAAAGGATTGACATGTCGTAGTTAGGTTAATAGATGGAAGGAACTGGCTCTTCCTATTCAGACAAATATTTTGTGCAGAAAAAACAAAATATTTCAAGGAAAGCAATATAAATCGTAGCTATAGCGGCAGCTAGGCTTACAATAAAAAAATACTAGCCAGAGGATTTCGTGAGAGACACAGGGTGTATACAGATATTAGGTTCAGAAGACTTTAAGTAACTCAAAATTAAGCAAACTCAACTTAGCAACTCAACAAAGCCTATATCCACACTACTGGGGTCAGCTAATAACATATAATAAAACCAACAAAAAAAAGCACAAAAAAGATCTGTGATCTACCTTGAAACAATCAAAGTTATCATTTGATCCACCGGAGATTTCATTGCCTGGTTGACCATTGTCATATTACCATATTTTTGTAAGTTGATTTTTGGGTTTTGCATTTAATCTCTTATCATTTCAACTTCTTAACCATCATTCCACTTATAGACCTTGCATGTCTATTACAATACACAACTAGCCAAAATTCCATCATTCCTTATTGCCTTATCAAATTATATATGTGGTCTAAATTTACATTGGTTGAAACTTTGACTATCTGTTCTCTAATCATAGATTCTAATTGATGGCTACCCTCTCAAAGACTTGGATATCAAGTGGTTCAGGGAAAGGATTGGATATGTGGGACAGGTTTCCTCGTTAACTTTCCAGTCTGAATGAGAGTGAAATTTGTAAGATACGTTTGTCTCATTGAAGTGTTTTGATAGGAACCTCGACTTTTCCGCATGGATATCAGTTCAAACATAAGATATGGATGTACCAAAGATGTTGAGCAAAAGGATGTCGAGCGGGCTGCCAAGCAAGCCTATGCACATGACTTCATTTCATCTCTACCTAATGGTTATCAAACACTTGTTGATGATGATTTGCTTAGTGGTGGACAAAAGCAGCGAATCGCTATTGCTAGGGCCATTCTCAGGGAACCAAGTATTTTGATTCTTGACGAAGCCACTAGTGCTCTGGATGCAGAGAGTGAACACCATGTCAAGGTAGATAGTAGTGGCATTTGTAGCTAAAATAGCCCATTTTTTGGAGCTTCAAATTTTCTACATATGCATTTTCCATTATATGCAGGGTGTTCTTCGTGGTGTCAGAAATGACAAGACAAAGAGGACCGTTATAATAATTGCACACCGGTGAGTCATCCAACATTCAAATTTTGAGTTGCTTAGTGAAAGTGTGAGACCTTGAAATCCTGACAATCCACTTTCTTCAGGCTCTCTACCATACAAGCTGCTGACAGAATAGTGGTAATGGATGATGGTCGAATTGTTGAGGTATGTATTATGATTATCATACAAAGATGGTTGTGGTCCATCATTGAGTTGTTGGGACTCCGTATGACATTTGCAAGTATTGTCTTTGTTCCTCTCTTTCTTTTTATTCTTTCATATCGTTCTTTGCTTCTTCCTTTGCTTGAAATTGCCCTCTTTTGCTTACTATTTTATATGAGCCTTGCAAGTTTTTATCCCGCAATTGATCATGCGAGGTTTCTGTGGGTATATATAACTTGCCCACAAGGCCAGTACTTTATTACCACTTAGCAGTGTCATAGTCCTACTACTTAATTGTTAGATTGAGCTGAAACTTACCACTGATCTGTCACAATCTGCAAGTTTCATCAATGTCTCAGTTGGTGACAGAGCCCTGGGTGGCTGAATCATCAATTACATGGCTGTTTATGAAAAAGTTTAATATCCCAAGAAACACTAGGTTAAAACACAATTTCTGACTACTCCTCCAACACTATTATGTGGTCTATGGCCTTAATTTGTGTTTTTCCATCCAGATGGGCAACCACTTGGAGCTTCTCTTAAAAGATGGTTTGTATGCACGATTGATCAGAAGACAAGCTGATGCTGTGGCATGATGTTACAGCCAATTGTTGCCTATATACTTCCTGTCACATGCTGTATAGGAGTCCAGCGAATTCTTTTTGTTGCCAACCGTGTCAATCAATATCACCCCACAACAATAATTCGAAAGTCCTGTTTGACAAAAAGGAGGTGTCATCATCGAAGCAGTTTTACCACCTTGGTGTCTTCAAAGTGAGAGAGGCAGCTTCATACAGAGTCTGCTGCTTCAAATATTTGTTCTCAATTTATTTACTTTTATACAGGCAAAGGCCCAAGCTGTAGCTCATTTGAGAGAACATGAGGTTAATTACGGTGTTCATGTCTACTCTCATCGATCTTTAAACTGTGCATGCCAGGGGTTCTGTAACTACATTTGACATTTTAATCATAATCTTACCAGGGGGCAAACTGCTTGCTGCTTATAAATGTCCTTGACTTAAAGCTCAGTCTTCTAGCTCAGCTCATTTGGCAAATAATCTGCGTCAAACTCCCAGTCTTCTTGCCTGCTGGGGGAAGGAAGGAAAGTCGGGTTTCCTTCCCGGAAGGGAGAAGGCCAAACTCTGAGTGGGCTGCCAGGTTTTGCCTACGCTACAATTTTACAAGATTGAACTTTTTTTGTTCAACCGACGTTAAGGTGTCCCAGAGTACGGGGGAATGAACTTTCATTCCTAGGACTGTCTTGTCTATGTACTAGGCGCCTTCCCCTAGTAGAATCATGTCTTAGGTTTGAAGAATTTGATGATAGGCCTTTGTTGTAAAAGATCCTAGAATTGGGGGATTCGTTTGAAAAGAGAAGTCTGTTAAAGTTCAATCATTTGACGTAGTAGTCTCAAAGTTAGGAATTTAAACCTTGACTTTCTCTTTTCTTTATGAAACCAAGATAAATTAGCGGTAGGGACATCTCTCCATATAAGAAGTGGTCTCTTCCTCACAGGCAGGCCAACTGTAGAAGACATTTGAGAACACAAAAAATATGACACTTGGGCTTTGTTACATGTGAGAAACTTGTTCCTGTGTTGTTTAACTGACCTTAAATACTTGGAATTTAAGATTTGTCATTTAATCACTTACACTCTAAACATGTAAAATATTACACATAGACCCATTGAAATTTGTTTTTGTGTAACATTTCGATCCCATCTATTAATAAATTACTTCTAGACTCCTTGAAGTTTTTATAGACGAATAACACTTAAAATCTCTCAAATCTAAATATTGCACTTAGACCCCTTATTAGTTACGGAACTAGCAGAATACGTTAAACAATCAAATTATCCCAATAAAGATATAAGATATTGTGTCTATTACAGTTTGATTCCTTATTTGATTTTTTTTTATTTTATTCTAATAGACAATATAATTATATACAAATGAGTGTTGAATTGAGTTCTTTAATATATTTATACTAATTACTTTTTTTTTCTTTAAAAAGTTGGATTTTATTTGGTTTTTATGTCAATAGATGATATAATAAAATATGCAAATGTGTTGATTAGACTTATTTTATATGTTTGTACTTGATGATGAAAAAATTGACCCAAGGTGAAAATTCATTTAGTCAAAGTCCAAATTAACGTGGAGGTCGTAAATTTTGTCTTAACAGAACTAATTATAATTTTTTAAGAAAATTTTAATTTTAATTTTTGATTTTATTTCAATAAATAACATAATACAATATGAATTCTGGTAGTAAAATTTAAAATATTTGATATTCTATAATTAATTGGAATATTTTGGGTATAAATGTAATATTTTAAACTTGAAGGGTTTAAGTATTATACGTTTTAAATTTCAAGAGTCTAGATGTAATTTACTAACAGAATTTTAATGACATGAGTCTATGTGTTACGCGCATATAATTTTTAGGAAAAATTTCATCTACACCCCCTCTAAATAGATCTATCTTCAATGACATTTTTACCTTTTCTGAAATTTCACCGATCTCCCTTGTCAATGTTGATCGGCTAACAGACGTGACGGAAACACACTTTTTATCATTTTACCCATGAATTTTATAAAGATTTACATATTCAAACTATATATAAATAGGTATTACCTTGTGTGGTCCTTATTGTGCATGGAGTTAATAGTTATATAAATAGTTATTACCCACTTATTACCTTGTTTGGTTGGCATTTTATGTATAATATTATTTTTCGGGTTACAAATACTGACCCGATTTGTACAAAAACTTTTATCCCTTGTACATGACTTTAATGAATACTAACTACCAGGTGATATTATTTGCTGGTATAAATCCACTAATGGGTACAAGCAAGAAAAATGACACAAATACTCTCCTTTGTAGAGTTCACTTATAAAAACTTTATTTTGAATTTTTTCCCTGTATTATGTTTAAGTGTACTATGTCACTGATTTTTTTTTTTTAAGTTTAAAAAAATTCATTTTGAATTTTTTTTCCTTATATTATGTTTTAGCATACGATGTCATCATTTTTTTCAAAAAAATTTTAAAAAAAAAATTTATTTTGAATATTTTTCTTGTATTATGGTTAAGCGTACAGTGTCACCAGTTTTTTTAATTTTTTTTTAAAAATTATTTTGAATTTTTTTGTTATATTATATTTAAGCTACGATGTCACCGGTTTTTTTTTAAAAAAATAAATTTTAAAAATTATTTTGAATTTTTTCTTATATTATGGTTAAGCATACGATGTCACCAATTTTTTTTTAATTTAAAAAAAAATAAAATTATTTTCAATTTTTTCCTTATATTATGTTTAAGTGTACGGTGTCACCGATTTTTTTTTAATTTTTTTTTAAAAATTATTTTAAATTTTTTCCTTATATTATATTTAAGCGTACGATGTCATTGGTTTTTTTTTAAAAAAAAATTATTTTGAATTTTTTCCTTATATTTGTTTAAGTGTAAAGTGTCACCGTTTTTTAAATTTTTTTTTTTACGGTGTCACTGATTCATAGCGCTAGATTTTTTATGTGGATTTTTTTCATTATTCTTCACCGATTCATTCTAGGACCAGTGGCTTGGGTTTATTGTCACGTTGTTTTTGCACTTAGGTGATTGGGTTGTTGAGACATGAGACTATGAGAGAGAGAGAGAGAGGGTGAAACAAGAGTGTCATTAGAAATAAGAAGGGTAAAATTGATATTTAATAAAAAATTTGATATGACATCAACACTTTTCTGATGGTCAGTAACGACCGGTTACTATAGGGGGTTTAGGTGAAGAGGACATATAAACTAGAAGGAAATGTAGTGAAATTTTAGAAAAGGTAGGGGGTGTTGTTGAAGATAGACCTATTTAGAGGGAGTGTAGATGAAATTTTTCTTAAATTTTAAGGGGTTTGTGTATAATATTTTAAATATTAAGGGGTCAAAGAGATTAAGTGACAAATTTTAGAGGGTTTGAATGTAATTTTTCCTATCTTTTATTTGTTCTTAACGAGGAACTTCGATACATTTATTGCTTTTTTTTTTTTTATCCGGAAAGCACATCTATTGCTTCTTTGCCCTTGGACAAACTAGGGAAAGCCACTCAAAGTAGTGTCTCAGATGGTAGGTAGAAGGAACAATAATTTCTTTGGGTAAAATATAGATTATCTTATTATAATCAAGATATTTGATACAATTAATTAAATAAGTCATACTAAAATTTATTAATATTCAATAAAAGCCTTAGATGATTTATTACTTGTACTAAATATGTCTAACTAATAATAATTAATATTTAATATAAATTCCAAATAACATGATTGTCACATTTTACTAAAATAAAAAAAAATTGAGGCATTTATATATCACATGCATGTACCCTTCTCCTCCTTTTTTTTTTTTACTTTTCCAAATTGAGAGGAAAAGAATTTGGAGGAAAAGACCCTATTTTCTTGCCATGGTTAGGACCTAGGAGGAATTATCTACATTGGGTTAAGAGGTGCTTCAATCCCAAACATGAGAGTCATTCACATATTTTCTTCCTTTTTAAACATGAAAAGTCATTGAATATATTTTCTTAGTAATAAAATTATAGGCATAGCGACAAATTCTTTCACTCTTAGGAAAGGAGAAAGATCGATTATTATGACCAATTTGACAAGCACTGCATTTCCTTTAGATGGAATTACTATTGTTATAAAAAACAAAATTAATTTTATAATTCTATCACGTTAATATTGTCACATAATATAATCTATATAATAAAGTATAATACAATTCAAATCTCAAAAGATAAACAAAATGACTTTTTCTATTTGCGATTGAGATCTCTTTAAATTTTACTTTAAAATTAATCTGACGGCTAACATTAATACCCCAAATTTAATAGGAAAAATAGACTTCTAAGGGTGTGTTCAGAGTGACTTTTAAAAAGTACTTATATGAATTATTTCTCTAAATACTGTCTTAAAAAAAAATAGTATTTGGAACCGCTCCACCACTATTTCTACTACCACCATCACCCCACCGTCGCCGTCACCATCACTATTGCCACCTTACCATACCCATCACCCCACCACCGCTGGCACCACCCTACTATCATCACCACTATCATCATCGCCCCACCACCATCACTACCACTACAACCACTGCCCTTACCATTTCCATCGCCCCACTACCACCATCCCCCACCACCACCGCTGTCACACCCCACCATCACCCTTACCACCCCACCACCCCAATAACCATCACAACTATCACCACCATTGCCCACCGCCATTGCCTCACTTCACCCTACCTTCACTGCCCCATCGCTAGTACCACCACCATCGTCATCTACCACCGATTGCTATCATTGTCGTCTATCACCATCATCCACCACCGTCGCTATCTTATTCTTATATTTATTACTATTACCACCATCATTCCACTACCACTGTCGCCCCCCATCAATACATACCACCACCATTGTTGCCCACCGTCACCCACTATCACAACTAGGGCTGTTAGTCGAACGAGCTCGAGCAGAGTTTGAAAAATTTGTTTCTTAATCGAGTCTAGAAAATTGTTCAAATTTAGCTTGTTTTGAAAAAAAGTCGAGCTTGAATAAGCCCAAAATAGGTCGAGCCCAAGTATTTGCACATAAACGAGTCAAACATGTCGAGTTTGAACCGAGTTTGTAGGGCTTATTTTTTAAACGAGCATAAAACTTGTTCAAGCTCGGAGCTCATTTAGAAAACGAACTGAGCTTGGACGAGCCGAACCCGAGCCAAGCTCGAGTAACTCAGTTTGATTAACAACCCTAATCACAACCCACCACCACCTGTCGTCATCCACCACTGCAGCCACCCCCACTATCACCTACCCCCACCACACTTATCATCGCTGTTATTCGATATCACTCATCACACTGTCACCTAGAAGCACTTATCGTCGCCCACCACCACCATTGTCACTGCTCACCACCACCGTCGTTGCCCTACCACCACCACCATCACCGTCATTCACCACCACCACTGTTACTCATGGTTGCAACTATCACAATCGTCATCAAAAATCCACCACCACCATCACCGTTGTCATTCACTGCTACCACCACCACCACCACCAACACAATCATCGTCATATATCACAATCATCACCGTTTCCGTTTCTCACCATAACCACTGTCGCCTACCACTGTTCACCTCTATTACAATTGATATTTAAATTTTTTTATCTCTTTTTTATGTTTTTGATTTGATTTTGGGTGTGAATACAAATATATTTATTATTGACTATTTTTTTTATTACTATGTACCTTTAGGTACGGTAAATAACTAGTTATTTAATATTAAATAAACAAGTACGAGAAAGTAATCCTATTTTTTTTAACATGGGTTTACTATCTTAGGGATAATTATTTAAAATAGTGAGGTCTATTTTTTATATTTAATGAATTATTATGAGCGACACATGCCACAATGTCGACATACTGTAACTGTTGTAACAGTCAATATTTGCTCCAACTCTGGGGCTCAGCTAGCAAGTGCCTTGGTACCCAATAGTCCCATCCGAATCATCCACCACCATTCTTCTTCAGCGCCACCACTCACAACCACCACGTACCACCTTAAAACCCTAAATAATATACCAGAAAAAAAAAAAAAAAAAAAAACAAGATGGATTTCCAACAGTCATACCGGTACATGGGACCACTGCCACCTCTGCCGCCATCCACGACGGTTCCGCATTACCACCAATTGCCACCACTTAGACAATCTGTTCCTTCACCAGGCCCTTGGTATTCCGGCCAATTCCAGTATCAACCCTATCCATCTCAACACTCTCCCTCACCACCACCACCACCACCTCCTCATCAGCAGTGGGTTCTACCTCCACATTCCGATCTCACCCTCCTTATCCTGCGCACCCCCTTATCAACCATACTCAGTACCCTCCTCCTCCTCCCCCTCCACCCTCACCTGCCTCCTCTACCTAATTATCCTCCTCAATCATATACTCAGGTCAATCAGGTAGTTTCTACTCCACCTGTTTTGTATTAAATTTTGATTATTTATTTGTTTGCTCAGCTTCCTAGGGCTGTACTTTATTTGTCTTTTTGAATGATGTTATTTTTGTTCATTCTAATTTTGGGGATGAACAGAGTAAATAATACTGTTACATTCAGGGTTTTTGAGATCCTCCGTACAATTTGATATGTATGTGATATTTGTTATAAGGAAAATGGAATTCGTCCCTTGTTGGGTGAATTGTTATAATTTTTTTACTTCATTATATTTTGGAAACTCTTCGTTGTTTACATATCCTAATTCCCTTGTAGGGGAGGATGGGTGAGAGGGGCGGAGCCTGAAAATTATTTTAGAGTGGGCACACTAATATGTTTTAATTTTTTTTAATAGGTCGTAAAAGTTCACAAATTTATATTTATTAAAATTATATTTAATACTTTTTAAACATAGAAGAGTAAAAATTGATATACTCATAAACAAAAAAATAATAATTAAAATTTTTTGTTGAGAATGCGACTAATTATTATTATTTTCAATTGACCCTGATATGTTTTTATTATTTTAAAGCCTTACAAATTAATTTTATCAATAATATTTCTTTTATATATAAAATCGTTGTAACAATCTTCCATTTATAATCCTATTGTTTACTACATAAGTAATCGTGGGTCACGAGACTCATGTGCAGATATATATATATATATATATATATATATATAAGTTTGAAAAATTACATTTATTACTCCACTACATTATAACTTTTTACTTTTAAGTATACATAAGTACCATTAATTTAATTTGATACCCTTCATTATTTTTTTAATATTAGTAAATTATATTGATAACTTGAATAGTAGGTTGAATATTAATAAAATGTTATGTTTTTATGAGTTTATGATTTTTTTTCAAAAACATATATATTTATTATTAATTATTTAAAATTACGTCATATCTTACGATATACGATACACGATACGATATGATACACTATTTTTAAAAAACGATACACCTTCCGATACACGATTTGACAATTATATACATAACGACACACATTTTTAATATAATAACGAAATAATTTTACAATTTAAAAAAATTACAAAATACCATAAATATGTTCAAAATATATTCGGACATGTCTAAAAGTTAACAATTATATTAGTTGTACCTAATTTGAGATTTAATTGATGGAGACCCAATGGTTTGTGACCATTGAATAAATAGTATAATTTATAAATATTAAGACTCACTATTATACTTAATATCGCAATATATTAGGTCCTAAAATTAGGTTTTAATAACATTATTTAAAAAATTAACAATCATTAAGGTAGGGGTCTATTTAAATCAATATCACAAAAAAATAATTTTAGGGTGAGCATAATTAAATATGTATAAATTTTATTTAAAAAAAAAATAAAAATTTGAAGGGGTGGGGGCATGGGCTTGTGCCCACTATATCCCAAGGGTGGCTCTGCCCCTGATGGGTGAAATATGTGACTACTAACCATTACTTCACAAATGGTTGTAGGACAGGACAAGTCAGAACTGGGGTGATCATCAAAGTCGGGAGTAACCTGGTGGGCATATTAGTTTACCTCTGACTTTACTCTTCTGGAGTGCGTAACTTGGTTTTAATCTTTTGGCATGCTTGGTTTACTTGTTACGATTAATTTTGTTCTCTACAGACATTCTCATTATTCATAGAGTGATACTCAAAAACCCAACTGAACAAAACCTACTCCGTAGTTCTGATTTTCTTCTGTGGATTTATTAATATGCAGGTTACAGAACACCTTCCTTTGATTTTGTGTTTTTTGTATCATTTTATGCTTGGTGTGTTTGTGTAACTTTCTCTAACTTAGTTGATATGATATTGTATATTGTGTGGTCTTTGTGATTTATTTGAAGACCGAAGTTTACCGGTTCCCTCGAAGTAATCACGGGAAAATTTTTCTTTGTGTTTCATGAGCTCTCAGCAGACCATCATTATTGAAAAATTGTTCTCACTTTTTGCTTTTGCTTTCCTCAGATCTTTGCCTGTGTTTTTTCTGTTTGTTGTCTTCTTCATTTTCTGTGTTTTTAGAACCCTGTTTTTATTTTTATTTTATGTGGTGGTGGGTGGATGGGGAGAGGGAGGGGGGTCCTTGTTGGAACAATAGCTTTTTGTGTACATAATTGCAAGAAGGCCATAGGCACTTTAAGCAGTTTTTAACATTGAAATGGGTGAAACAAGTATTCCATTCATCCATATGCCTCCAGCCAAGGATGCAGTTTTATACGAGGGCCAAGGGGACGAAGGTATTGCTGCATGCTTTGATTCCTTATAGTTCTTATTTCTGCATGAGTCTCTTATTACCTCCAATTTTTTGAGTTTTTTTCCCCTTCCCTTAAAGTACACTTGCCAGAAGTTTTTGCATGCCTAAGTATTGCTTCTTACCATGCTGGGCTAAACGATTGTGATTTCTTTAATGAAAGCCCATAACAATGGAGAAGATTGGGCTGTGGACAGCTGCTCAAGCTGTAAACGATAATCAGCATCAACAGTCTCAGTTTACTCCAGTTGGGAGACTGGAAGAACAGAGTCGTTACTACAACCAGTATCCATAGATTGTTGAATCTCATCATCCAGATTGTCAGCGAACATCACTTTCTTTGTTGAACTATCAAGCGTATCCAGCTTCAGCTGTGCCTCCATGCAGGTCACCCATAAGTCGGCTGCAGGAATCTGCATCCTTCAGCTCCGGACAATCTCTATATGGTCCAAATGGGCATTTACCTCATACTACTAGAGAAGGAAATTCGGCTGGAGATTCAAATGATGTATTTGGTCATCAACAAAGTTCAGCTGCAAGTCCTTCGATTCACTAGCAGGAGGTACCTTCTAGTTATTCTTCTGTTGCAGGTAAAACTTAAAATAGCTTTTTGATTTTTCATGTGAAGCTTTTTTTCAAGAATTAGGAATAGCACATGTTCCTTGTGGTTCAGAAATTTGTGCAGAAAGCCAGGGTTATTTCTGTTTTTTTAATTTTCCGGAAGGTAAAAGCTGGTGGGAAAATCAATAACTAAACTTTTGGTTACCCAAGGATGGGAATATCAGAAGCCTAAATGGACTTTTGGTAGTGCTAAATGTTTTTGTTTTCTGATTTTATCTCAAATGACAGGTAAAGAAGAGGCCGAGAATCAAAATGAGAAGTTCTATAAGTCGCTTTCCATGTCCATTGCCTCAACTCCACTGCACCAACCACCACTTCTTACCAATGGCATATCGGTTTCGATGGACCTGCCCCATTAGGCATATGGCAATCAGGCAGCGGAGCCTGCAACTGATCTTAGTGATATGCCTTTAGATTTCGCGCCTAGGTTTAGTGGTGACCATGGTTGACATGTGCAACCAATGGGTGGTATAGACCATGTTGCAACTATGCCTTCTATTCATGCTTGGACTCCTTGTGCACCAGGGGGAGTTTATCTCCCATTCTCTGCAGTACTCCCATCAGGGCCACAGGTTTGGGTTTCAACTTCTCATATGCTTGCAATCTTCAAGCCTTGATATAAATGTTATTCTTTTTGTATCATTATTTGCAGATGGATCCTTCTGTGCCTGTAACTGCTCCGGTGCCTGGACATTCTGCAGCCATATTTGCAGGGATGCCTGGGTCAGGCTTCCAGACAACGATTCAATCAGTTGGAGTGTAATTTAGCACTGGTCCAGGAACTGCACCTCATCTAGCAACAGCTTTTCCTGCAGATGGATACGGGCTTCCAGTTTTTCTCTAAAAAGGTGTCTGTTGCTTAATACTACTCCAGCATTGATGCTTAAGTAACAAATGGCCACTTACATTTGGCTATTCTGTATTGTGGAGGGTTTTCAGGCCTCGGTACCTAACTGGCTCAGGGAGGAAATAATTAAGAAGAAATCTGTCATTGCAAGTTCAGGCAGATAGCAAGAGCGTTGATTCTTCTAAGTCAACCGACAAAGAGGTTTTGTCCAACCATTTATATATCTCCCTCAAAAAAAATAAAAATAAAAATAAAAATTCCAGTTATGAAATTTGTGTTTCGATAGGGGTTCTTTTGATTGACTCATTGATGTGGTTCTACGGTTTTCTGTTCCGTAACACAGATATCTACATGCACGTCAGTTGTTTTTGTGAATTGAAGTGCTCTTAATGTGATCTTAGGATGATGTTGAAGTGGCTAGAAATGCAGCAACAAAACAGGAAATAAAACGTATCCTGACTGAAGTTCTTTTGAAGGTGCAGATAGGTTGAAACAGATGAGCGTCTTATATTACATTTCGGTCTAGGTGTTTTGACTTGATGTTCTGATAAAATTTTTGATGAAATTGTGATGAAAGTTCTGAGCGAAGATAATCTCACTGCTGAAGGTAGTTCTTCATGTTTAGTTGGTAAATTTAATCATTCACTGTTCAGAGACTAACTACTGATCTTTCTGGCCCACTCCCATTGAAATTGCATGATGTTGTCACTTTTTGCATCTAGATGACCACAGTATTGCCGCCTTGAATCTTAAAGTATCACCATCTACTCCTGCAATTCTTACCCCTAAGGCTTCTGCTAATGCTCTGGTTCCAGCCAAACCCAAAGAAGCCGATTATGATGATAATAGTGGAAAATCTTCTTCCAGTTCTCCTGGACATGTGCTGGGTCTCGCTAATTATGCCTCTGATGATGAGGGGGATGATGAAATACACAGTTCCAACTTACCGAATTCTGAGGAAAATCCTGTACTTCAGCAGCCAATTACTACAAAGCTCTCTGAAGATACTGATGCAGTTAATAATGGCCCTTCAGGATCAGAAAGTGAAGACCACTATCATATGGATAGTGAACCAGGAAGAATGGATTCATACAGAGCCACAGCTAGTCATAGTGCACAAGGTAGCAAGTTAAGTGATAATAGGGCAGATAGAGAGCCAGCACATGGTGATGTTCGGCCTATATTATCCACTAAGTTTGATGCTGGAGTTGTCAAAGCAGAGATTAATAATGATTGTAAGAAAGAGCTAGATGGCTTGAACACTTGTGCACCAGAGAATGGTATAGGAGAAATAGTTGATATGAAGACTGACCTGCCCGGTCAAAGCTGTAATACCAAAAAGGTAATAACAGATGACTCTCAAGGTATAGGTACCAGAAATAAACTGGATAAGAATCTTAGACGTGAAAGTAAAAGGAGTTCTGCTGGTAAGGAACAAACGGATGAGAAGTCAGATGAGAACGGTAGGATGCAGGACGAGATACATTTAAAAAATGAAATAACAGATGATCAAAATGGTTTAAAAAGAGAGAATGAAAGAGGAAGGTGTTAAGTCTGGGGAAAAAGCAAAGGATTCAGACTCAAGGAAAAGCTCCACTCGTCTTGATGTTAAGGAGGACAGGAAGAGCCAGGAGAACCTGTGCTAAAGAAGATAGTGACATAAAAAGGGAGAGAACAAAGGATGAGAAAGATCAAGACATAGGCCAAGTGTTTTGACTTTTGAGCGTTGGCAGTAAGGGCAGACACAGCAAGGACAACTTGGTGTTTACTCACGCCCATGATTCAAGCGATGTATCATCTGATGATTCTAAAAGGTTCATTATTTATTCTTGTCTCTTCCTCTCTCTCTTTTTTTTTTCTTTTTTGCATTCTGTCACGTGGTTGCACGTATTCACTTGTGTGCTGCAGGAAACTGATTTCAAAAGGCGTAATTTGTCACCATCACCTGTAAGGTCCAAGAGAAGGTACTTCTTTTTGTCTGTTTGATTTTTTTTTTCGTGGTTAATCTTTTTAAGTTTCTGGACATATGTTTGTAGCTACTTTCTTATCATCATGCTATCTCATGATCGAATGCCATTTCCTCTAAGTTTTTATGCTTGCAGTCCCTAGAAAACAGAGTGGAGACAGAGATAGGGTTAATCACATTTGTTTATGGACAGCTAATCTACCTTGGGCCTTCTATAAGCCCAACAGTTTAGTTGTTTATATTAGTCAGTCAGTTGGCTTATTTGTTATGAATGACTAGCCCTTGCAGTGACAACAAATAGTGCAATAATGCAAACAGGAAACAACAATGAATGCAAGAATTGTCATTCGTGCCTATATATTGTCCAATGCATTTTCTAGGAGGCTTGGCTTTTAAGGCCTTTTTCATGCTCTTTCCAACTGAAGTAACATACAGTGTGATGGTGCATCTGGGGATGCTGGAAGCTGCCTATCTTACGTTTGTGCCTCTTAACTTTTGTTGTGAATATTTTTAGTTTGTGTAGGGGCAATCAATTCCAAGAATCGTATAGCACTAGTAACTAGTGTATTTGATCCTTTGCATCCTTTTGATTTATATGTAATATGGTGGTTCATGGTTGTAATATGCTTAGGGAAATTATGCATCATGCTCAGACTTTTACATGTGGTTTGTTTTGGGAAAAATGAATGTGTGCCTCTTTTTGAATCTTACCAAATAGGCCGTACTTTGCTTGAATTTGCACATAATTTTGGTTATATGGCAGTGGCACATCTGTTCATTTAATTGTTTTGGGTTATTGACATTGTCCGTGCTCCTCAAAAATGTTAAGACAATGGTGTGTTGAGTTGAGTTGAGTTGAGTTGGTTATAGTCTACACTCTGCCTCTCAGCCTCAATATTGTGAATCATACTCTGGATGGAGGTCCAAATTAAGGTGAATAACAGTGTCATAGGGCTGAGTTTTGTTATGCAGTTGCAAAAAATTAGAGGCTGCTTATTCTAAGAATTACTTGATTGGGCTCCTGGACAACATGGCCCTACTATTATTCAGAAATTAGCATGAGCAAGATTTTTTTTTTGGTTTCTTTTAAGAAGTATTTTTCTAGTATCTGGATGAATGGAATTATGTGATATCCCTTCACAGACACACCTGACAAACACCTGCAGGCTTTTGTAGTTCATTCCTTTGGATTATCACCAGCTAATACATGATGGAGGTTAACAGCCAGATCACATAGCATATCTCATAAGCATCAAGGATGAAGAGGAATCACATTTTTGGCGGGTTAAAGCAAAAAAAATTGAGAAGTTTTAACATACTAGGTGGCTTATATGAGCATGTCTTTAGGTTTATGCATCATTTGGAAATTGCCTGAAACTTGCCTCCACTTGACTGCCACCAACATGATCATGTGAAATTGTAATTCTGCTCTTTGACTTTATGCCATTGCTACACAAATGCACATTGATGTTGACGTGACATAGAATAAGGGAAGACGAGGATTCATTTAAGTGGTAATCTTGTCAAAGCAAAAAAGTTGTGATGTTTAACACAATAGACATTGCCTCAAACTGAATTTATTCAAAACATGCCTCCATTTGACTGTCACCAACATAATCATGTGAAAGCACAATTCTGCCCTTTGACTTTATGCCACTGGTGTTGAAGTTACATAATGTTGCGTACTTGCATTTTTTGCGTCCAATAGTAGAATGTGATACGGTTTTGCTTCATGGTGATGAGGCATCATCTAATGATGTGTTTTGCATTAAACTTTTCTTGTTCTACACATCTCTTCTGGCTTTGTTACATGTTGGTTGCATTTTACATTTTGTTTTTGAATCTTGACATGATGTTGCAGTGGCGAATCCCAGTATCGTTCAACCATCTATATGGCCTTAGGATAAATAGCTTGGTGTTGATTGTGGCTTTCTCAAGACCCTGTTTTTTTTTTGTGTTCATAACTGTCAATGTTATTATAACAGAAGTGGTGATTTTATTTCTTTTCATCATGATCAGTGAAGCATTTTTGTTGTTCATTTTTATTATGTTAATGCTAAAAGAAATATCAGGTTTGTAATGTTAAATGTTGGGCTTATAGTGTATTTTTTCTTACCTCCAACACTTCGAGTTGCTTATACAAATTCTTGTTGAATGGAAAGTTCGATTCTATCTGAAGTACTCATTTTCAAATGATATTCACATTGTTCACAAATATTCATTTTGATTTAAATTTTTTTTATAATTTAATCCATAACAATTTTCGCATTGAACCCACAAATGAGAGTATTTTTTAGTTACATCGAGATCATTAGAACTCTCTCTTGTAGTTAAATCACTACCATTTGTGCTAGTACTGGAACCCCCGTTTTCACTACTATTTCTACTTTCATCACAAATAAAACTGTAACAAATTCTTGTTGAGGAAATTGTCATGGACATGATCGATCCATATTGTTTGCTAGAACTATTTATTAACAGTCGGCTTTAGACAATGGGACCATGAACTGTGTCAAGTGTTTTTTTAATTGTTTTCCCCTTCAGAAACTTTCAGCAATGCTAGGAATTCTAGTGCGGTTCATGCACTAGACAGATCTAGCTCTTTAACTTTTACATCAAACTAACAAAATGACATTGATACCCTTGTCGTAACATTATTGGGATTAAATATGAAAACTATTCTTAGAAACATCCTCTGAACGGTCTACTGATGATACATGTGACACTTTATATAGATGCAATTTTATAGTTTACACCAAACAAACCATTTCTTATGAAGTCTGACTGTAAAAGGGTGAGCTTTCATCTACCAAATGCATTTTCTAGCTCACTGGCTTAGTGTGGAATGTTTTAATTTCAAGACAAGTTTCATGGTCTCCACATAGCAAGCATTCTCAGCACAGGCATTCTCCCTACCCTTCTCTTGTGAACACCAGGTAAGTTACCTTGCAGTCTGTGTTTTTAAGATTTTGAAAATGTTTTTGAGACATACCCATCCATTATCATCATAGCAATGAGGAACCCAGGTGAAAGCATCAGGTCCGAACTGCTTCAATCTAATTGCAAGAAAAGGAAGTCAAGGTCCAGGTCACCTGTTCGTCGTCAAAGGTAACCTGAGAGATTTAATGTATGGGGATGAAGCACACTTAAGAAGTGCAAGAATTTTTTGCTGTGATGCAAGAATTGATGATGCACGGGAGTTGGGTTGGTGATTAGAGGGAATACGTGCAGTGATTTGTCTGGCTGAATTTGTTGTCTATAGTAATCGACATTGCACATTCTTTACCTGTCCACTATTGGTGGTTCAGGAGTTGAGAGTGGAGCTAAATTTGTATTAATTAGCAGCCTCCCCTGCGCTTCCCCTCCAATTTTTGTTGTGGTATATATTTGCCAGCATTGGCAAACGCAATTCCCAAGAAGGGCTAGCTTATATGTGCAGAATGGCTTGAGATGGTTAGCAGAAACATTTTGTAGTATCTCTGAGATTTTATTGTGGTATGATCAGGAAAGAAATTGACCAAAATATGTTGGTGTTTTTTGTGGATGTTGACAATGGTCTGCATTGATGGCTATGAATCTCGCTTACTATGCTAGCAAGTTTGCTTCTGGGAGCCATAAATCTTGTGGTATAATAAGAGAGAATAGATTCTTTACCGCAGTCTGTAAATTAATTATTTATATGCAACCAATCAAAATTTGAGAGTTATATAAACTTTGATTGACTGTCTGTAAAGAATTTATTCCGTAGGATTTATAGGTTTTCCTCAACTTTTGAACTCTAGATTCTACTATGTTCATTCCGACGGTTAAATAATTGCTGCATTGGAAAAGGTAGTCAATCTAGCACGTAGCTACTTCCAATCTTTACGACCAGTAAGTTTCTACAGTGATGGTTCAAATTATGTTCGGATAAGGATACAATTCAATCGGGTCATATCCAAGTTAATATCTATTGTTGGACTAAGGGTCTCACTCATGACTCAACTCCTATTGGACTCAAAGACTTCTTAAATGACTCAGCCCAGCAGTCAGGTCATGGTACTGCGATACAGTTTCACAATGTTACGGTATAATATGAATTTTTTATACTGTTCAACTTTTTTTATCTAGATTTTTGTAGTGTGGGAATCGTGTTGTGTCATGTCGACCTATTTATTGTCATGTCATACTCGTGTTGACCCATATAACTCGTGAATAAAAAATTTAATACTCAGTTTTATGTATAAAATTTCATTGTCACTTAATCGAACCTATACTCATGCTTTTTCTATAAATTAAAAATTAATTTAATAAATATAATAATAAATAAATAAAAATATATTATTTTGTTAAAGAATTAGGTCACTAATTGATAAAATATAATAAAAATTAACATTTTATTCTTATAATAGTACTTAAACTTGTTAATCGTGTCAATTTTATGTTGCTCGTGTTTGACATTAATCTAACCCATTTAATATTCGTGTTAACGGGTTTGTATCCAGGAACAGTCAACTTTACCCTACTAATTTTGTGTCAATTTTAAATTGTATTTTCGTGTTGTGTCAGAAATTACCACCTTGGATTATTCTGTGTATTATGCCACAATGTGTCTTAATGAATTAATGTCCTATACTATGATTTTGAACCATGTCGACGTCAGGCGTTGTCAGACTTATGGGCATATGATATGATATTAGAACAAGGATGTGGCTGCAGAGCTGGGACAAGACCAAATTCACAGTAAATTATTTAAGAAACTTGATAGATACTTGCTAACATTTTTCTTCATAGATAGCATTGTTTTTCACGCGGAGAACAACAATGCAAACATACCTTGTTCCTTGGCTGATAAAATTTGTGCTCAGCCTCGGTTTTATCCCTGGCATTGTGTGGCAAAAATGCTAAAAACTGTAATTGCCAGACATGGAAAAGAGAAGGAACTCGAAAATGGTCAATGCTTAATTTATACTGAAATTCCTCAACCTTATCATATTTCACAGTCCCTGTGATGTTGGTGTAAATGCTAACTTGATTGCAGTCAGGTGCTTTTGGTTTCTGCCCATGCTGAGAAGATGTGCTCACTTGTTGCCATGTTGGGGCTATCCCGGTCCAGCCACCGGGAATCCAGGAGAGCGAAAGAGTTCGAATTTGTTTCCACCTCATTCGATTTGAGTGTACGGTTGAAGGACATTACTGTGAGGATAATTCATGCAGGTGGGAAAGAAGAGCTGTATCAAAATCCAATTCCAGCATCACAACTAATGAGGAAGTATCCAGGAATGTGTGTTGCTAGGCCTCAAGTCTTCAAAAATCCCCATGATTCCATTTTAATGGCAGAAGAGAAGTTGTTACCTGGGCAAAAATATTACATAATCCCGTCTACTACTGTGCAGAAATTGAAGAGTAAACGATCACAGAAGGTAGAAGAAGCAAAAGAACCTGATGTAGCTAAAGAAGCAGTTTTAGATCACAAAGAAGTTGGGGATAGAGGTGGAGATGTTTCAGAGGAATCTGTTTGTTCTGCAAAAGAATTCTATGTCTCTAAGGAAAAGTGGTCTAGATGTATACAGAAGAAAAGTCAAAAAGGAAAGCAGAAGTTTGTACCACCTATACAAAAGCCAAGAATTCTGAGATTGGACTGGGAGCCGAGTCTAACTTCTGTGCAAGAGCTCTCTCCATGACTTTCTCCTTTACATGACATTTGATGGTTCTTAGTACTGCTATGTAGCCACTAAAAGAAGCAGCAAGCAAAATTTGCTGCAGTGAATAAATCTGCTCTGTACTCTATAATTCCTTTTCCTAGATTTAATTACACTTTTGATGCTTATAGGTTTTTTCACACTTATTCGTTGTCTCGCTTGATTATAATTTTCGACTATTTTATCATGTCAGTTTCTGTAATTGAGATTTCTCTGAGAATCCCAGCCTTATCTTGTTATGAGTTAGATGCAACTGATAATCACTTCTAGCTGGGGGTTGGGTGCCAGAGAGACAGAGAGGGAAGGAGAGAGGGAGAGGATGGGGTTGCAGATTTTATTTTAGAAATAGCAGAAGGAAGGTATTCAACTATAGGGAACCGAACTTTTCAAGATAACACTGTCTACTACTTATCCCTCTCAGATTCTGCTAGACGGAAGATTTATGTGCTGAGTACTAATCTTTTTTAGGATAGCTATCAGATGTCTTTGTTGTCTTGGTCTTTGGAGTTAGGAGAAGTATTTGACATCCTTCTCCCAAATGCATTTAACAGATTTATATTTCCATCCTCGCATCATGCAATCATTTGTTGGCTTTTCGGAGATTTCCACTGGCGTATTAATGTCTAATAGTGTTACTGTTTAACCTAGCAATTTTATTCGAGTTGGCCATCTGGTGCACCATTCTATCCTTGGTTATCTGTAAAAATTTAAAATGTTCTTTGCCTTTGATCAGACGACTATTACTTCGCTTACTAGATTAGGGTTAGCCGACTGTCTGGAATGGGATGGAATAGAAAGAACATGAAGCACTAGTTCTATGGGGTCGGTGATGCAACAGACTACCATGTTATCATTAACTTGCTAAGTGCCTTTATTGCATCTGCTTTCTGTTTGTTTGCTTGTTTTTTTTTTTTTGTGTGATAAGTTCTTTCCAAGGATACCATCAAGTAGGACTATCTACCAGTACCAATTAATAAAGTTAACTCGAGTTTCCTCTGCTTTCACTACTTGTTTAAATAGTAATTTACAGAACCTTGTATTGGAGCAGATCAATCCATACAAAGCATTTCCAATGTCAACTCAATGTCGAAATAGAGCAAAAAATAATTGAGGATTATCCAAGCCAAAAACACTCCTCGAATTCATGCAACCAAACCAAATTTGTTTTCTCAGTACAGCATACACTGATATCCATCTAGCGGAAACTCCTCAAGTTCAAAGAATTATTATTATTCCAAAAAGATTGGCAATTTTCAATTAATCACATGCATCAAGCAGTTCACACAGTAATCTCTCAGAGTACATATGACAAGAGCTTAGTCAAGATCCATGTGTATATAACAGCAAAGATGGCGCCAACTGGGATTGTCACAGCCCAAGAAGTCACAATCTCCTTTACGGTTTCTGCTCTCACATTATTAAGTCCCCTAGCAAATCCCACCCCCATGACCGCACCAACTAGGGTATGAGTTGCTGAGATGGGAAGTCCCAGCTTAGATGCAAAGAGAACCACTGAAGCAGCAGCAAACTCAGCCGCAAAGCCTCTGGTTGGAGTTAGTTCTGTTATTTTTTTCCCGATTGTAGCCATCACTCGATATCCCCACATCATAAGCCCTGCCACAATCCCAAATCCTCCCCAAGCAAGGACATCATTAGGAATCACAATCTGAGCTGCACTCATCCCACCTTGAAGAATAGATAATGCTGCAGCCAAGGGGCCTATTGCATTAGAGACGTCATTTCCTCCATGGGCAAATGACATGAAACAGGCTGACAAGACTTGCATATAGCCAAAGACCCCATAAACTATTTCCAGCTGAGTACCAGTCGGACCTGCAATTTCAGCTGAGAGAAATCCTTGGTTTTTATTTTGGATGGTATCCCCCTTTGGCTCTGGTGGTGTAGAACTGGACTTGACAAGGAGGTGACCAAGCTGTCTCTGGATAATTCTGGAGACTACGACTGCACCAGCAGTGCCACAGGCCAAAGCTTGGATGAGAGCTAGAGGAAGTCTCTTGCTAAGAGGGAATGCTGCAAAAGAGATTCCGGTAACACCCACAAAGACGGCAATTGGTGCAGCTGCTGCAGCAGCTTGTCCCGGGTTTGGAGCACTGTAAACAAACTAGAAAGAGTAAAGGAGGTCAGAGGTATGGATCACATTTCAGTGCTATTGAATTTTTGGGTTTGGAAAGATGAAGCTCCTTTGGGTTGCAAAGGACTGTGATAATGAAGTTGCTTAAGTCATTCTGCCAGGCTGCAATGCTTATGGGTTATGATTTGATGGAAAAGTAATGCAGTTCCAGCTACATTGCAAACTGTTGCTTACTACATTGCAATGTACTTCTCAACAAAAAAAAAATTGCAATGTACTTTGCTGTAGGATGCTGCAAGTTTATTCTCACAAGCCATAGACAAGCAAGTACCAGTGGTTTATCTTATAATATCAACTATTCAAATCAACTATATGAGCTAATTTTTTGAAGTCCAATCTAGAAAGAACATACCCTACGGATGAATTTGTAGACAAGAAACGACACCATTGCTCCCATTAAAGGCGAGATCACCCATGATGAAGTCACTCTTGCCAGAGAACTCCAAAAGACAGCACCAGGTCCCCCATAGACGAGACCAAATCCAACCATGGATCCTACAATACAGTGTGTAGTGGATACAGGCCAGCCATAATATGACGCAACCTGAATACCAATGAAATACAAAGTGAATTTTGTGGAAGAAAATCAGATTTAGAGTCTGCATCTCAAAGCGCAGGCACCAAAGACTTCAGATTGCTTCTGAGATCTACAGCCAAGATTGAAATCATCAAACTATTAAAGTTCTACAGAGACAGATATCAAGCTAAGAAACACTCATCTATCTAATTGAAGCAATCCTTAACATCTACTTTAGTCTATTCTGTTTTGTGTTTTCATGCTCTCATAAATTCGTTAGTCAGGCTCACAGGAAATTGCATTTGAAATTATCAAAACAAGTACACAAGCTTTTATGAGAAAATGCAAAAGCATAATACGTTTAGTGTGAGACATAGAGGGTATCAGATGACAAATCTATGATGCAGCAATTATCACAATCCTCTTGGAAGAAACACAATAATCCCATAAGAATTTATTTTCTGATGTAGAAATTTATGATTTATCAACACTTCGAATATTCTTATGGATAATGTGCCATATCCAGGTAGTCTTATTGTAATTAACTCCCCTTGGTCCAAAAAAAAAACTGAGTAGTCCATAGGATGAACAGGCAAAACAAATGAAAATTAGACATAGCAAAGTTATAAAATTAACTTTCACAATAAGTATCTAATGACATCACATTATCAATAACGGCATCTCCAAAGATTTTTTAATGAACAAGAAATTAAAATAATATGCAACAAGTACAAAAGACTGAACTAGTTTTGAAGACAAGTTCATGAGAAGGGAACAAAATAACCACCACTAAGTCCAAAACACAAATATTTCACAATTTCTGAAACAGAGATGGGCTTCAGGTTGAAGCAATCCAGTGCCATCATGTACTATAATTTTCAAAATAGATTGTTATCTGCAAAAACACATAACTAAATACATTAACAGGAATTGAGCAGAATATGGGGTTATTCAGGGAAATTTTATGTAGGGGAGTATAAGGTATGAAACCAGAAATTTCTTGTAGAATAAAGCCCCATATACAGCACTGTATTAATCAAGACATCCTTAACAACACAAAAAATATGCATCAAACAAGTTTATTAAAGGAAAGTGTCCAAAACACAACTTTTTCATATTGTGCTGAAACAGAGAACTACAGGTTAAAGCAAGCCAGACACATTGTTACATTGATTATAATTTTCGAAGTACATAGTTATCTCAGAAAACAAAAAGCTAACTAATACATTCATATGGCTGGTTAAACAAGGGATTTCTTCTTGATTAAAGTCTTATATAGAACAATATATTAATCTAAGGTGACAAATACTAAGAATTATCGTATCGCAATGAAAAGGTTCATGGGTTCGAATCATGGAATTATTTTTCCAACGTAAGGCTGTGTCCATCTAACTCTCCCAAACCTTACAATTACGGGAGTCTTGTATGCCTGTTTACATTGTGAAATTATTTTAAAAAGTTAAGCTATGTGATAGGAGAATTTGAAATGCAACTGCAATCAAGTACCAAACCTAGTGAAAGTCTCGTGGACTGGATACACTTTTTTACTTTGTGGAATTATTTTAAAATGTTTGGCATAGTGAATAGGAGAATTTGAAATGCACCTGCAACCAAGTGCCAGCAGCAGCCAAAGAAGAGAGCAACCCAGCAAAAAGTAAAGTGTCCTTCCCTTGGAAAACATTAGCAACAAGAATTCCCTTCTGCATTGTACTGGTCACATGAGTTCCCATTAACAATGCCCCAGAAAACTCCAACACCGCCGCCGTCAACACGGCCTGCCGGATCGTCAGAGCACCGGAACCCACCGAAGTCCCCATTGCATTGGATACATCATTGGCTCCAATGTTCCAAGCCATGTAAAAACCAAACAAGAGAGTCGTATAAGACAACACTTTGGTCTTCAAGGCCAACCCCTGACCTAAGGATTGCATGAAAAGAGGGAAGGTAAGAGCTGCCAATGCTATGCATATTGATATAGCAGAAGCTGTGCTAGAAGATATGTGGAAAGCCTGTGCCATTCCTGGCAAAGCTTCATCAGACTTCCCATCTTGTTGATGTTCTTTGGCTTGGATTTGCTCACCTTCTTCTTCACCTTCTGCTTCAGCAAAAGATGATAAAGCAGCAGATGGGTAGGTGAACAACTTATGAGGCTTGAGTCTCAGAAGAGAGAGAGAGGACTTAATGGGCTTAGAAATTGAAGTCTCTTTCTTGGGGAATTGGGTTTCATGTGAAATTAAAGAATGACTATGTTTGGGGAGGTTGAGATGACATTTTTGAATTAAGAAAGGTTCGGGTGCTATGGTGTTTCTGATGGAAGATAGAAAGTAAGAGTTAGACATGACTTAGTAGAAAGGGTGCGAAGAGAGAGAGAGTGAAGAAAGGGAGAGGAGAATATGGGATTATTCTGGTAGATTCCTGGTGATGGGATGAGGAGGAGGAGTAGAGGTGAGTAGGAGTGTACATTTTTGTTGTTTTTCTGATGGAGAAGAGAAGGTGAGTGTGGATTTGGCAGTGCTTGCTTTGGTCGATTGGAACGAGTGGTGGTTATTCAGTTTCAACTTTCAGTGCCGTTTTAATCCACACATTAGTTTGAAATCAAAGCTTCAAACAAAACGTACATCTTATGAACACTACAGTGTTAAACAATACCAAGCCACAAAAAGATAGATTGACCCAAAAATATCTTCTTTCTATTAAGAGATTTAGAAATGGAGTCTGGTTAAGTACTAAAATATCATTTTTTGATAATATATTTCTCTTTATCTATATTTTTCATCTAATTAAAACGTATTACTGTGTAGTTTTTTTTATTACATAAGAATTATTCATATTTGTGTATAATTGAATTTAGGGTTAATCTCATTTTGCACCCCAAAAGATTGTTCGAATCTCAATTTACACCCTCAAAGATCAAAAATCTCAATTTACACCCTCAAAGATAGAAATTTGTATCAATGTGCACCCCCAAAGATCAAAAATCTCAATTTGTACTCTCAAAGATAGAAATTTATATCAATGTGTACCCCAAAGATAAAAAATCTCAATTTGCACACTCAAAGATAGAAATTTGTATCAATGTGCACCTAAAATTAAATTGATAAATTATACCTAAATCCCCTCATATTTGTCAGTTAATCATTTAGACCTCTTCACATTTAGAATATTACTCCTACATCTTATGACATTTGTGCACGTATAACACGTAACTTATTTTCATTGATATCTATTAATATAACCGTTAAAAAATATAATTTTATCCTAATAAAAAATTATAATTTCATATTACCCTTTATTTTATAGGTTCAATATACTATAAAGTTCAAAATCTAGTTTACCATTTGAATGTCTAATAAAATGTAGATATTTATATAATATTTTTCATATTACCTTTTATATAAATATCTACATTTTATTAGACATTCAAATGGTAAGCTTGATTTTTAACTTTAGAGTATATCGAATCCACAAAATAAAAGGTAATATAAAATTATAATTTTATATTAGGATAAAATCATATTTTTTAACGATTATATTAATATATATCAACGAAAAGTGGTTATGTGTTACACATGCATAAACGTCATGAGATGTAAGGGGAATATTCTAAATGTGAAGGAGTTCAAATGATTAAGTGACAAACATGAGGGGATCAATGTATAATTTATTAATTTAATTTTAGGTGCACATTGATACAAATTTCTATCTTTGAAGGTGCAAATTGAGATTTTTTATCTTTGCGGATGCACATTGATACAAATTTCTATCTTTGAGGGTGTAAAGTGAGATTTTTGATCTTTGGGGGTACACATTGATACAAATTTCTATCTTTGAGGGTACAAGTTGAGATTTTTGATCTTTGGGAGTGCAAATTGAGATTCGAACAATCTTTCGGGGTGCAAAATGAGATTAACCCTTGAATTTATATTATTTTAAATTCATGTTGAATATTGATGATGCACATACTAGAAGTTAAGCAGAACTTTGACCAATGTATATATTGTTCAAGTCGATTAATTTTAGACTTTTTGTGTGACTATATCAACATTGATTAAAGATTTAAAGAATGAGCGAGAATAAATAGTGGTTTATTGATATCGGTTAGTCCACTCAAATAGAGTCTCTGCTTTGGGAAAGGGGAATTATCTTATTGTTTGTTGATAATGAATGGGATTACAGATTCCTCTTTTTTGGTGAAGATCTTTGATATTTATAAGACATTGGCAACACCTTCCCTTATTAACTGGGATCTTCTTTGAGTATTGCTAGACTGCTAGAGTGAGTCTCTCCTTATTTATAGGGAGCACATCCCTCTTTGATTGCAGGAGTCTATTTTTCTATGATCGTTAGAGCAGCGCTCCTTCTTTGTTGTTGAGACTACGCGGCCTTCCTTTCTGGGAACATATGGGGGGTAAAAAGATCTAGCTAGATGAACTGCGCACTCAATTGGCTTTATTTGTCGAGCTTGTTTACCAACTTGGAAGTTTAGCTAGAGGTGGAGGTTGGGCCTTTCGACTTACTGAAGGTCCTCGTGGTCCTGCACCTATTCCAGTGGTTTGGATCTTAGCTATACCTCATACGTATTAAGAGGGTATCATCAGTTGCCCCCCAGTCCCAAGCTTGACCAGGTCATCTTGCTTGTAGCTTGGGATTGTATTCCAAATATGGTGGAAGCGTCATCTTAATCCAATGGTCTGGGACAACTGCTTAATTGTTTGGGGGGGGGGGGGGGGGCAATTAATTCTTCATTTCTTGGGACTTGCCCGCAGTATCATGCCACATGTAAATTTGTGTAGGCACATTAAATGCGCCCGAAGAGATTAAACCACCAAAACTCCTTATTCAGCTCCATCCCTAAATCAAACCCTTCACTTTACCAAATCCCTTATCTCTTCGATTTCCCAAACCTGCTCGAGTCTTCAAAGCTTTTTGGTTTGCCAACGAAGAACTAAGTCGATAAATTCTAAATTCTAGCCTATCTAGTAGACTTATTTGGTGATTTCATTTGCTCTCGCCTTGGTCCCTACTTTTGCTTACTATATTCTCGCTTAAGTACGCATTCTTCTTCTTGCCTCTTCGCCTTTTGCATTCACTCTGGATCCTGTTGGCCCAAGGACTCCACTTTCTAGTTCTTTGCTTTTGCTACTTTAGAAATCCAGGTAGGTCGTTGGCAGCAACTACCCCCTTTTTAGATCCGTGGACCACGGCTAGTGTTTTCTCCTTGGTACGTTAGTGTCTTTATATTCGCTCAATCGAGGATTGTACCTTCCATATTTCCCGAATACCCCAAGAGCTAGGTTACTTTAATTTCTCGTTTTCACCCTATGTTTGAGTTCCCTTCGTGGTCACTGGATCTTTTATTGCTCATATGTTTGGATATGAGCCACTCCCCAAAGGTTGGGGAATTTGTCATCGAGTCCATTAGTCAAAAGGGAATGGTGGGTGCAGAGAAAACTAAGGGATCTTGTGTTCATGACTCAGAGTCTCCACTACTCCTAAAAAATACATCCGAGGGGAGTTCTCTTGGCCGAGATAAGAGGAAACGTGGCCTTAGGAAGAAGCTCTACAAAGTTGACACCTCTCTTTCTCCTGAGGTTGGTACATTAGGGAGACCCGAAGAGCTACTAGGTCCTTCTCCAACCCTCATTGCTAGCAAGGTTACTAAAAGTCAACTCAAAGCCTTTGTTGAGCGTTACCTATTTCCTTCAGATGTCATGGCTCATGTTCCCTTGAAAGTCGATCATTTTAACATCTACTCGTCTGGGAAGGTTTGCGTCTTTTTGAAGAGCGTTCTTCGATTCTATAATATTTGTCCAGCCTGGCTCACCCCCCAATTTCTTGGGGACCTTAGTGGGATTTTTAGTTTTATGGGGAAAGAAGAGCTTGGAGGGTTATCTTTCAACGACTGAGCTTCTCCACTTTTTTACCATGAAATGTTCTCCTTTGGATGGTTTCTTTTACATTTCCAAGCGTGTCAATGCCCTTTATTTGATCGTTGGGGCTCCTACCTCTCACAAACCCTGGAAGGAATACTTCTTTTTTTGTTTCGGGTGGTTCTTGGGAGTTAAATTCAAATGATGCCACTGATGTCCTCCGTATCCCTAGGCTTTGGAGAGTGCCAAGTAACCTAAGTGAGTGCTTGAAAATCATGTCTTTAGTTTTTTACTTTCCTGATAATAAACTATCTCTACCTTTCTAAGGTTGGTGTGACACTTGATAGAACTTCGCCTCAAGTCGACGCCCTTTAAGAGACTTAGACTTGACAAGATTAGCTAGTGTGCCGTGAGGAATTAAAAGGAACTTATTTCTTTGGAGAAGTTGGTGGAGCATAGGCTTTGTCCTTTTGATTTTGAAGAGTCCTCTTTTGGTCCATCTAGAGGTGACCTCCCTACTATAGAGGTTCAAGACAAATCTGAGGGTAAGGGCTTAACTTTTCCCTTATCCCTCCTATGAGTTTTTACTTCTCGTATTCTATCATGACCTTAATGAATCTAGGTTCCATGGTTACCTAGTTGCAAGATGTCCTGGAAGCACATTATAGATGGATTCGGATGAAAAGGGGCTCGTCCACGCCTTATAATCCCAAGCTCCCTCTAGATACCAGGTCCAGGAAGGCTTCTAGGACCGAGGAGGTGGATGCTACTAGGAGAGGGATGATGGAGCTTCCTTCTGAGGATCAAAACCAAGAGCCTCTGTGAAGACTCCTCCCATTACCGGGATGTAGGTCTTCCAAGAGCATTACCGCCCTCCACCAAAGGATTTCGGCTAAAGCAGGACTCGCCCCACAGTAGCCTTTACCTCCGTCCCACATCGGGGAAGGAGTCGTCTCCCCACTCCCATATAAGCCGAAGCACAATATGGAAGCAGTACCCATCTAGCAGTGCTAGATGGGTACTGCTTCCATATTGTGCTTCGGCTTATATGGGAGTGGGGAGACGACTCCTTCCCCGATGTGGGACGGAGGTAAAGGCTACTGTGGGGCGAGTCCTGCTTTAGCCGAAATCCTTTGGTGGAGGGCGGTAATGCTCTTGGAAGACCTACATCCCGGTAATGGGAGGAGTCTTCACATAAAAGGCGCCTTTTATGTGAAGACCCTGCCCCATTACCGGGACCCTGTCTTCCAAGGGCATTCCTCCCATTACCGGGATATCCCGCCCTCCACCAAAGGATTTCGGCTAACCTGTGGGTCAAACCCCCACAGTAGCCTTTACCTCCGTCCCACATCGGGGAAAGAGTCGTCTCCCCACCCCCATATAAGCCGAAGCACCATATGAGAGCAGTACCCAAGTAGCACACTTGTGGTACTTGGGTACTGCTTCCATATTGTGCTTCGGCTTATATGGGAGTGGGGAGACGACTCCTTCCCCGATGTGGGACGGAGGTAAAGGCTACTGTGGGGTCGTCCTGCTGTAGCCGAAATCCTTTGGTGGAGGGTGGTGATATCCCGGTAATGGGAGGTTAACCCTTGGAAGACAGGGTCCCGGTAATGGGGCAGGGTCTTCACACAAAAGGCGCCTTTTATGTGAAGACTCCTCCCATTACCGGGATGTAGGTCTTCCAAGAGCATTACCGCCCTCCACCAAAGGATTTCGGCTAAAGCAGGACTCGCCCCACAGTAGCCTTTACCTCCGTCCCACATCGGGGAAGGAGTCGTCTCCCCACTCCCATATAAGCCGAAGCACAATATGGAAGCAGTACCCAAGTACCACAGTGTGCTACTTGGGTACTGCTTCCATATTGTGCTTCGGCTTATATGGGAGTGGGGAGACGACTCCTTCCCCGATGTAGGACGGAGGTAAAGGCTACTGTGGGGCGAGTCCTGCTTTAGCCGAAATCCTTTGGTGGAGGGCGGTAATGCTCTTGGAAGACCTACATCCCGGTAATGGGAGGAGTCTTCACAGCCTCCCCATGTTGCTACCAGCAATCTTCCAACTCCTGAACCTTTGAAGGATCTTGAAACCCTTCTTGTCTTGCCCCCTTCATTTCTTGAGATTATTTCTTCAAAAGCATCGACCTCGACTTCCCTTGGGGGAGTAGAGATGGATTCTTTTTTTGGGAACCCGACTCTAGCTACTAAGAAAATGCTGGGCATTCTGTCCAAGTCCAATATCTCTAAGTCATTTGAGCTCGGTGTTAGTGATAAGGCAGCCAACACTCTACATGACCTAGCGGTATATCTTTACATTTTGAAGTTTTAGATTTTCTTTGACGAGTGATCACTTATTTCCTTTGGTGGGGTTTTATGTAGGTTGCGGTTCACATTCGGACTTTATTGGGCCATGCCATCTAGTCAGGCAAGACTGCTACTCATGCCTAGAAGATTTGGAGGATCAAACCTCTCAAGTTACTTTGCTGAGGACGTATAAAAAACTCTAGGGGAGCAGAAGAGTAGAAGGAAGCCGAGGTCGGTAAATTGCTCGGTGCAGTGGAGTCTGCTAAGGGCTAGAAGTAGAAGGCTAAGAAGGGGAAAAAAACAGGTCGAGAAGGTCGTGGTTGGGCTGAAGTTGGAGGTCGAGTCCTTAAAATTCCTTTGAAAGGCTAATGAGAACCATAAGGGACTTTTGAGCTAAGTGTGCTGATAATTACGTCAATGGTTATGATGACCTAAGGGATCAAGCTACCAAGCAGTATCCTGATATAGACTTCACGTGTTTCATACCCTCCTTTATCTTCAAAACTGACTATTGGGGTTGACAGAGCGCTAGCAGACCCTATGGTGCCACTTCTATATCCCTTTTTGAGGCTCCGTCGAGAATTGAGGTTCCAGTTAGGCCTCTTCTTAACGCCTTGTCAAACCTTGCCAAGATTGAAGGACCTGAGCTAGACTCTAGTAGACAGTCCTAGGGTTTCTTTTCTTTCTCCCCTTACTTTTGTAACCAAAAATTTCAGAATCCTTTTTTTTTTTGTTGTAACAGTAGGACTGTTAAAATGAATCATCTTTGACTTTTTATTGCGACCTTGTTAGTATATGTGTCCCTTTCCCTTAGTTCTTAGTTGCCAGGCTGAAGCCTTGAAACTTAGAATTTGCTTAGCATAAATTGACTTAGAATTTTCTTAGTATAAATTGAAACAATTGAGTGCCTGAGGTTGAGCTTCTGAGCTTCTTCGTGTATATACTGACCTCGCTAATTAGCTATAGCAGCTTCCAAGCTTTCTCTTGATTTCAAAAATCTTAAGTGTTTGTGGAATCAAACTGGAGCATTCTCGCGCACTCACCACATGTTATCCTTTTGAATGTGTGATAGTTGGCAAATGGACGTGGTTTTGGCAATTTTTCTTCCACTTTTGTGCGTGTGTGATAGTTAATGAGAGGACATGATTGACGATTATCTTTTCCGGTGCCACATCATCATAATTCTGGCAAAGGGCGACTAAGTGTGTGTACTTGCCATTAAATGCCTTAATTGCCATCATTTAACCCAGGCGTTATAGGAGACGAAGCATCACTTCGTTTGCTATATAAGTAGGCCATTCCCTTATTTCAAGTAGTTTACATTGAACATTCTTGAGCCAGACTTGTCTCTTTGTTGCTGATCCTTTCTTTTTCTCTTGCTTCCTTATGGACCTATTTGCTTCTTCATTTTTTAAACAACGGGTTGCGATCATGCTTGAGGACCCACACTGAGGTGGCTTCTTGAGGCCCAGCTCTGTGTCCCGGGTTGAAGCCGTCATCCTAGAGCACTACCAGTTTCCTACGGATGTCTTTGCGCAAGCCCCTACTGTTGACGAGCCCTGCAACTTTCATCGAAAGAAGAGGGTTTGTTTCTTTGAAGCCCTTACTGTTGACGCTCCCCCCTACACCCGTTTATAAGCCGGATTCTCTTTTTCTCTGATCTCAGTCCCTCTCGACTTACTCCTAAGGGATGGAACCTTCTCTTAGGTTTTTTTTTTTTTTTTTTTTTATCTTTTGGCACCTTCATGGCCATGACTACTTCCCCCCCCTCTCTGAATTTCTTCATTTTTTTTGCTTAGTTCTTGAGTTTCCTCCTTACTTTTTTCGTTTTTCTTGGAGGACCCAAGTCCCCAAGTTGCTTGTTGATATTCCTAAGGGTGGGAACAACGTTTCTTTTTTGTCATTGGGAATGGTTGAGTGTTGTTTAACTTCTTGTATCTTGGTTCTGTGTAAATGAAGTTATGAGGTTGGCTTCTCCTGAAATCAACAGGGTTTATGACCTCTTCTAACTCAAGGTGATGCCCTTTGGGAAGCTAGTCACTACCCAGAACCTTTTAAGGTTTGGATTAGGCCCTGCCCTAGTTGTTTCGGTTGTTGTCCTTGCTGTTGTTCCCGAGGGTAAGCTAGATAATAGTGTCGCTTCCAAGAAGAGGCTTCATGGCTCTTTTGCCACCCCCGGACCCTCAAACCCTAGGGTGGGGTTCTTGGCAGTTGTTGAGCTAGAATTTTAGCTGGAGCTGATTGTAAAGAAAGGGCAGCTCCGTTATGTTGAGATTGAGAGAGATAAATTGGCTAGGGAGAATGCCCGGCTGAAGGAGCCCTAAGGAGCAGCCTCTCAGTACGTCTTCCTCTAGCAACCTGGCCAATCACGACTCGTCATCTGTTGGGAAAGTTTTGAAGCGTATTGAATCTTTGCGATTGTAATTTGTTTCTTCTATTTCCGAAAGTAATTTCTTTGCCTCGAATATTTGTTTGAGTAGGCCTGTATAAATTCTGTAAGTCCGACCACTTTGTAAAGTTTCGGTTTCATTATTTGCCTGGATAAGCTGCAAAACATTGCTTTTTCTTTTGCAAGTTAATCGTAACTTTTTGAGGGCGTATTGCTAGATCGAGCTAAAATGCCCCCTTTTTCACAAGTAACTCATTGTGAGCTTGGAGTTCTTCCATGAGCTTGGCGTAGAGGATGATCTGAAAAGCTTTTTTTGGCGAGTCGAACTGTTGGAGCTCTTTCATGAGTTTTAGAACTCATCATGAGTTTTAGAACTCATCATGAGTTCTCTATAAGCCAAGTGGCTTATCGCAAGGATAAGCTGAAGAGATTTCCTTCTTTTTATAAGTTAAGATTAAATTAGCACGAGCTTGTATGCTCTATAAGTCGAGTAGCTTATGCAAGGATGATTAAAATTGGAAAATTTTTGACTTTAGAATGAATACTTTATTGAATTATCCTCTAAAGTGGAGGGGAAAAGGTTTGGAAGACAAACATAGTCATTAAGGCTTTTGAACCTCTACTGAGAGAAGTTCCTAAGGTGATTCGTATTCCAAGAGTGTGCTATGTTTCTTCCTGCTTCATCCTAGAGCTCATAATTTCTTGGTCGAACTACTCTTTTGACCACGTAAGACCCTTCCTAGTTTGGTCCGAGCTTCTCAGGTCTAGGGTAATGATTTGTTTCTTTTTTCATCTAGGAGGTCGAGATTTGCTAAGAGGGCTCTATCGTTCTCTTTTGGGTCGAACAACACAATGCTCCTTGTTTGTTGTTGAGACTACGCGAACTTCCTTTCCAGAAACCGGGGGGGGGGGGGGGGAAGGTTAAAGGGATCCAGCTGGATGAACTCCGTACTCAATTGACTTTTTTTGTCAAGACCTAGAAGTCTGGCTAGAGGTAGAGGTCGGGCCTTTCGACTTGTCGAAGGTCCTCATGGTCTCGCACCTATTCCCTATGGTTTGGGTCTTAGCTATACTTCGTACGTGTTAATAGGGTATCATCAAATATAAAACATATATAAATCTTGTCTAATAAATGTGTGTCGTATTTAGCTAAATTTGTGTCGAATCGTGACAAATTTAACGGAAAAATTGTCTATTATTTACGACACCTCATCTAGTGTCTCAAAAAACCATTTTATTTATATGATTTTTTGGGAAAGATATTTTTTTACTTTAATTTTTTTTAGATATTTAAATTTATATTTTAAATCTTATATTAAACTCTCAATCAAATATAAAAATAGTAATGGAGTACAATATTTTCATATAAAATATTTAAAATTTAGTAATATTAAAATAATTGTGTATGGAAATAAAAAATTAGGTTAATTACATTTTGCTCCAATTTTGCTCTTGTTACAATCAACTTCCTCTAGTTTGAATTTTAGCAATTTGCCACCTCCAAGTTTTAGATGGACAAAATTGACTGATAAAGCTAATAGAATTATTAATTTACTGTTATCCCTTAATCTTTTATGTTTATTTTGTCATATTTGTTTCTCAAATAACCATTCTTAGAATTAAAAAATATAAAACGAAAATTAAAGTAACATTCTAAACACAAAAAAATTCCCTCCAGTTTTATATCTATGTAACACACCATCCAAAATCAAAATCCAAACCACCAGCATTTGGAACAACATAACCCAACATCACCAAATAACTTGACACCACCAAAATCTCCAACCCAATACCGCGAAATCACCAACACATACCAGTGTTAGGTTACTTATGTGTGTGTGTGTGTGTGAGAGAGAGAGAGAGAGAGAGAGAGAGAGAGAGAGAGAATCACTGGTGGGGTTGTTGGTTGGGGTTCTGCTACATAGAATAAGACAGTTTTTATTAGTACTCTGTTTGATTCGATGGAAAAATGGAAGGATGAAAAGTTAGAAGAATAAATAAAATATCATGTTTGATAAGGAAGGATTATAGGAAGGATGAAAAAGTGGATGGATTCACTTTCCTTCCAACTGACCAAAATTAATCCCTCCAAAATCAAAAAAAAGTGGATGAAAAGTTAATTATTTGTGTTGAAATGTATCTTATTTGTCTATATATTATGTATACATTAGTTTTATATAAAAATACAATGAATGTCAATAAAAAAATTTAAAAACAAAAATTTAAAATTTAAAATTAAATTTTGAATTAAAAAATATATTTTTTTCATCTTAACTAGTGGTGAAAATTTTTAACTTAACACGATAACACGACTCGAACTCAATACGAATTTTATGACAGAAACTTGATTATAACTCAACACGAACTTGAAAAAGACCTGACACATGAACAAAAAAATATAAAAGACTCATAATTTTATAACTCAAAACGAATCTAATACGACACGATTCGATTGTCACCCCTAATCTTAGTCAGCACAAAAAAAATTAGTCATTTTTATTTTTCATCCATCCAATCAAACACAAAACAAGGAAAGTGAATCATTCCTACTTTCCATCATTCTTACCGAACAAAGCATAGAGGGGGACGGGGAAATTGGGTTTGGCGTGGAATGGAATGGAGAAAATGAAGGGGAAGGGAAGGAGGGTAAGTCTGGGAAAGGGTAGTGGGGATACCTGCCCACAAGTTGGGGAAACTTTTTTGACAGAAGTAATTTTGACTTTTCAATATATTTTTTTAGATCAGAAGAGTTTCACATGACAACAAACAAGTAAAACAACAAAACAAACAAGTATTTGTCTTAATACAAAGCATATGTGAAAAACAAGTATTTGGCAACAACTTATTGTACTTCAAGATCGGTGCTTGTCAGATTCAAGAGCCCACATATTAGTGGTAGCAAGACAAAAAACAAGTATTTGTCAATTATCTATTTTCAATTCAACTAGTTCAGATTTTGTTATTTGGGTCTATGCTCCGAAATGTTCATATTCAATATTCAATATTAAATGTTAACTGTTCTTCAAAATGTTAATATTGAATGTTACTATTTTTTAAAATATTAGTATTGAATGTTACTATTTTTTATTTTTATTTTTTAATGTCATTATTTTTTTTGTTTGAACACAAGTTGTCCGTGTTGTTTGATCCCCAATTTTAGGTCAATGTTCCATGTTATTATTTTTTTTGTTGAGCATGTTATTATTAATATTGTATATTACTATTTTTTGAAATATTAATATATATAATAAAGTAGAACGAAGTTTGAATTTTTGAGATAAAGAGTGGTCCAGATTGTTTTGAGATAAAACATAAACACATCCAACAGACAACGTAATTCCAACATAAAAGACGATTCAGATTATCTCAAAAATTTTGATCTAACGGCCTACAATAAGTACTAAACTTTATTTTCCCGCCCAACTGAAGTCTCTTTCTCACGCAATCCCAAGTCAGACATCCTAATTTAAAATTTTTAACCCATTCCAACTCTTAAATTAAGGGATCTCTCAGTCCCCAACTCTGCTCCCCCACCCTCCCTCACCAGTGATATCTTTCCTAACCCAATCTAATTCGACGATTAAGTGATCTCTGACTCTCCAACTCTCCCTCATTTGTTATCCAATGGACAGAATTCCAAATCCCATGTTTCACGCCAAACCTTTTTCCACAGCCGTATATACACAAACCTCCAAACATTGTTTCCAAGCTCTCTCTGCCTGTCCAAACTTTATTTCCCCTCTCTGTATGCCTCTCTCTTCTAGAGACTGTAGACGACAATGTGACCATCGCCCAGTTCACCAGAAATTTGAATGTGCCAGCGACCACTGCCATTCCCAGGTAACTTTCCATCTCTTTGTCCTCTTCTTCACCCCCTCTCTCACTCGCACAAACCCATTTCGCTCTTTCGCTCTCTCTCTCTTTCTCTCATTTCCCTTCGTACCCCTCTGCAATACAGACACAATCGACACACCCACAACACATACACTTGCACACACCCACATCAATTGTTGTTTTAAGTTTATTCAATTTTGGGATTCATTTTGTAAGTATATTGCCTGTTTGATTTTTTGCTTAACAGTAAATATACCTGTGTTTGTGTCTAAAATTTTGACATTCCAATGCGAATTGAGGTTCAGTAAATGCTTTATTTGATAAAAATTGAAGTGAGTGAAACAAATAGACCACTGTGAGTGTTGGTCTTGGTCATTGGAAAACTTGGTTTTATGTGTTAAGTTGTAAAGGAATTTAAATATGAGAACATAATTTTGCCATCATGCTATTCTTTGTAGTGAAGTGACAATGGGTGAAGCGTGAGACTTGCTTCTTTTTGGGTGAAAATCCAATAAAGGTAATGATTTGATGATCCATTACATTCTTATTTGGTGATACAATTTTTATATGATTAATACATTTTTTAATATGTACACAGGTCCATGTATGATGTATGTACACAGGTTACTGGGCATAAAGAGAGAGAGAAGAGAGATTTTAATTTTCTCTGACTTCTTTAAGATGATTCATAATGAAAGTTTCCCCATTTACTGCTGAGGATAAGTGGGATTGGATCTAAAAACTGAAAGTTCCCCAGAAACTAAAGCTTTTTTATGGAGAGTTAAACATGATAAAATCTCATCCAATTACCTCAGAACTGTCAGACACTTGACCAATAACTCCTATCTCCCTTGCTGCTTCTTTCTCTCCGCTGCTCATCCACAAGCATCATTCCACACAGGTACACACTGCTTATCTTTGTCTCTGTCTCTCTTTGCTTCTATATCGAAGGTCTTCAACACAACGCCTGGAAGGTGAGCGACCAAATGCCAAAGAGGTAACCAAATGCTCCCAACTTCTGTGCACCACAACTCTCTGCGCACACAAACACACTCCTAGCCGCTGCCCTCTCTCTCGCTGCATCTTCTCTTTCTCGCTGTTATTGTCCAAACTTCCCCACAACCATAACTTTTAGGGCACTTTATAATGCTATTTTTTTCTCAGCACTCCTTTTTTTTTTTTTTTTTTTTTCTCAGGCTCTTTATAATGCTATTGAATTTAATTTAGAATTTTTCTCTTTGGTCTTCAGGGTTTGGATTGCACTCAATATGACTACATTTTGTTGTGTGCTTTTCAGTAGGTTAAGTGCAATAACAGGTAATTGGTTTTTGTTGTAGAGAGAAAAATTTAGGCAACCATTTGGAAATGTGATTTGGTGTATGAGCAGTGGGCTATCTTATATAGTTTATAACTCAATGCAGGTGTAGTGGTCAGATGGGGAATGATTTGCAGTTTTGATGGAAACTAAAAGTAGCATGTATTTTCTCTCCTCTTTTTTTTTCTTTATTATATAGTGGTTAGTCTTTTTATTTTTATTATGTTTCAAAATAAATTTGATTGTGTGTTTGGAAAGAGTGCATTTTGGACAGTTTGTCCTCACTGTTGCTATTTGTACGAGTATGAGAAGGTTTATGAGGGGTGTTGTTTGATGTGTCATAATGACTAGTGCTGGAAAGGGTTTCATGCTATGCCGCTTCCGTCGCCGTCACCAATGGGGGTGGTGGAGATGGGTTAATATTCATGTTTTGGGTCAATATTAGGATTTGAAGGGGATAAAGGAAAAGGGTTGTTGCCGTGGATGCCTTTTTCTCCTTTTGTTGCTCAAGTGGAAATAAAGGAAGAGAAGAAGAATGATGTCCATGAAGATGATAATGTGTGGGAAAGAGATAGTTTTATAGAAAATTTTGATGATAGTGACGATTTTTATGATGAAAATGGAAGTAAAAATGAGGTGACGTTGGAGAATTTCAATGCTAAGAAAGTGAAAATAGAGGAAAAAAAATGAAGAAGGGGAGTGGGAACAATAATGGGTTGGACAGAAGTGTTGAATTAGATGTCTATAACATCGGAAAGATGGCAATGAAGAGCAAAAAGTTAGTGGCAAAGAGAAAGAAGTTGTTGATGGGTAATGAGACCGAAAATTAGATAAATGAGGGTTATCCTCATGGTGGTGAAGAATTGGGCTTGAAGGTGGAAGCCAGTGAAGATAATGAGCATTTTGATTCTTGGTTTGGTGCAGGAATGGGAATAGGAAATGGTGGAAATGACTTTGTCACGGGTTAAGTGGAGTTTTTTGAGGGAGCTGATGATATCTATGTGGGTCTGCAGGAAATTTCTGATGCTTCTTCGGTTTGAACATGGAGTTTATCCTTTTATTCATATGGCTATAGGTAATAGGATTGGATGCTATAGTAGTAACTCTTGACTATTTAATAGTAATGCAAACATTAGGGCACAACAATTGAAATGCACCTTTACCTTGCTTTTGGCTATTTTGAATGTTTTTTATGTTATATTGTAGAAATAGATATGCCACAAGTCCACAGCTCAAATTGATTTTCTGCTTAGTCATAGGGGTTGGAATATGTTACTTTTTGTTACCATGTCTTCCTTTTGTGTTCAACCACAATGTGACACCTGGGAATTCTTATTATTTTATCTTTGTTTAGTCTTTTTCTGATCAATGGCTCTGAATAGCTTAAACAAAGATCCGCGCATAAAGTTGTTTTTCGATATGGTACCAGAAAGTAAACTTTTGGTCAAAGTTTAGTCCCTTAATCATAAGTTGATAGAGTGAATATGGGCAACCTCCTCGCAAAATGCGAATCTCTTATGCTTGATGGCAGAATAGTTAAGGGGTATACACGTATACGATCTTTCTTGACTTAAAGTTATAATAAATCAACAAGTGGTATGTGTATGTGTGTGTGAATCACTAATGGAAGTTTGCTAATTTATTAATTTTTCAGATGAGAGGTTCTTTGACATTATTGGGCAATCGGTGCTAAATGGCGTCAGAAGTTCTGAAGCAAAACTTGGTGGTACTACATCTTTGAGGTGAACAGGATAGTCGTGGAACTGTACATTCATGGGGCATGCTCCCTTTTTCGTTGAAACTGTTAGAATTCAATTTAGTGTGGATTAATTATGATTTTTTTAATGTTTATGAGGTATGGTCCTAACAAGTTCAATAGTGTAATTTTTTTATATAATATGAAATTTAATTATTGTAGCAAGCTTACTTTATTTGAAATTCTTGCTGAGTTTAGATTATCATTTTCTTTTCTTTTAAAGGTTTTAAGACTTTTGTCATTTGATATCTAAAGGTCAATGATACCAAATATCTTAGTTTGTAACTTCTTAGTTTATTTAAATTTTACTTTGTAGGGTCCATATTCAATTGTGATTGTTGAAATTTTGTTTAATACATTTTTTTCGAACATGGATACATGTTTGCAATTTTTTATGAGTTATATAGTGCTTTCAGGTATGGACAATTACTAGTATATATATATATATATATATATATATATACTAGTAATTGTCTCACTATGTGAGATAAAATATATATATATATATATATATATATATGAGAGATAAAATAGTCCTAATCTAGATATGTAGATATGTATATAGATAGACAAGAGAGAAAAACAATTTTAATGCTAATAAAATTCCTAAAATTTAAGAATTGTTAGTTTTTAAATTTATTTTAATTGAATATAACTATTGAGGGCGATGGTACCATAAAAAATATCTAAGGATGACCTCTGTAACCCAGGTCATGCTATCCAGTTTGGGAGCTCAGCTCATCAATATTATTTGTTGACCTCAATTCTCCGTGTCAATATCTTGAGGAAGTTTGTGCAAAGCACAGCTGGATCCCATCAAGTCCTCATTTTTTTCTTGGCGTCAATTACCCAACAAGCGCAAGTCTCGCTACGCAATGAGGAGCAACCGTTACAAAGGAAGGATGAGGATCTCGCCCCAAATCAAGCATAGCCCAGGAATAACTATAAATAGGAGGCAAGACCCTCGAGAGTGAGATATTCATTGTAGCCTTACAAAATATTTTTTGCAAACCACACATAGTTATTAATAGATTTAGGAGTAAGAGACTCCCTTAAGAGTAGATTAGTCTAACTCCTGAACTGGTAAACCACTATAAATACTGTGCATAATCATCTGTTAATCCCAAAAAATCCTATTCCTGAGAGCTTTTGAGCTCAGACTAAACTGTTCAGTGCACCTTATATTCATATTTCTGTCTCGTCGCATTAATAACATAATCAGAGGGTATTTTGAATAATAGAGATCAAAATAGACTTATCTCCAAACAAATTTTCTCGATAAACTTAAGTCCAAATAAGTTTGCAAAAAGGGGACCAACCTCCAAATTTACCAAAAAATTATAAAAAATGCTGGGCTGTAAAACAGGGCACAGCCAAGGGCCACCCAGCTTTAAAGCCTCTCTAATCTTGGGATGCCATTGGGCCAGCCCAAAAAATAAGCATCTGGATTAGTGGCCTGGTTTTGACAAGAGAAGTTGATCTAGAACTATTTTGGGCTACAATATGGGCCTAAGACTATGAACCGTTGGTCTACTAGGCCCATTTTCAACTTACGTACAACACCATGGGTTGAGTGGCCCGCATGAACTTACCCATAATCTGAAGATTGAGAGTTAAGGGTGTTAATCATGTCATGTCGTGTAATTTTTGTATCGTGTCACTTTTGTTCGTATTATTTTTATATCATGTTATTTTTGGTACGGGTGAGAGTTCAGACTCTCTAGGGTTTTAAAAATGGTTGAACAACTTTCAATGCCAATGGTGCACCTGGTGCTCTGTACTTTGTATGCTTTGCACAATCGTAATCACATACTATTATGCTTTTAAGTATTTTGCAATTTTCCTGACCCCCAAAAAAAATAATTATTATTTTTCAATTTTAGGGTTATTAATAAATTATGTCATGCTGCAGTTAGATTTTTATCGTATTTAAATTGTGATTTGTGTCTTTAGACAAGTTTGTTTAAACTTATTTATGAAATGAGTCTATATATAAGTCAACGTAACGATCTGAATTTAGTATTACTAAACTGTGCGTGCAAGATCCTGCACAATATAAAAAACGAGAACAGATCTCTCCCTTGGTGAACTCGAGTAAGCCGGTTGAGTGACCAAACACGCTGCTTGGAACAGCCTGCAAGGTACGGTGGTAACCTGGAACGGCAATGGGAGATCCTGGGAACGTAAGAACGATCCAGTAAGGCTGAAAGAGGTTCCTGGAACAAAGAAGAACAAGTTAGAAGGGCGCCGGAGTGTTTTCCGGCGTATCCCCTCCGACGATCTAGTCAGTCTTTTTAGAAAGAGAGAGAAAGGAGAAAACACTGAGAATGTATTGTAGTAAAGAGTTTGTTGTTGCATACCCGTCTTGCCTTTTGCAAGGAGTATTTATACCTCAAAAGCTCATGATTGCTGTCAGTGTAGTCAGTAGGTGATCATTAGGTACAGACAGTGTGCGCACTGATTCTGATGAGGAATGTTTTCTCTTCTTAAATGCTCGGGGTCCCGAGCAATCAATGTTTTGTCATCGGGATGCCGACGGTACAATGTGCTCCTCTCGGGGAGGATGCAATAAATGCTCTGTAATAAGAGCATTTATTGTCTTTCATTTCCGAGCCTTACCGCATTGAATGCGGTCTCATCAAGGGAATGGTGCAATTAATTGTTTGCTTTCCCAAGTCGTGTGTCAGCAACGACATTCATTTTCTCTGTTTCGATGTGATATCATTTGCCACGCGTCCATCTCTTAATGGCTGTGACCCCTGCATTCCAGTACGTTCTGACACTAGTTGTGTAAGACGAGGTCACGATGAATAGCCTAGACTAGCCTAGGCTAATGACTTGTACGTCAATAGCTTATCCTGGAGTAGAGGAAGCGTCCAGGACGGGGGTACCTCTCGGCACCGAGGAAAGGCTTATCTCGGGACCGAGGGAGGTATGTCGACCGAGGTACCATATCAGACCGAGGCCACGTGTTGGTTGTAAAACATACTGAATGCATGATCCTATATGACGAGTACCTCGGGGGCGAGGACCTTTGCGCGCCGATGGTGCTTGATCTTATCAACAGTGTTTTGGTAATACCGAGGACACGTGTCTTCATCATGGAGTATCTCAGAAAAGTCCCATCAACTGCCCCCCGCCTTCGATCTTCTGACACCGAGGACACGCGTCGTAAGGAGACGAAGGGTTCCCAACAACCACCAGTGCTTCATCATTGCCTCGAGCCGCTTTCCCCGGCTTGGGATGTCGTGCGCATTAAATGCGCCGTTTCGTTTTTTGCGCCCAATGATGAAAATTGCCTCTATATAAAGGGGGCTCCTCTTTCGGTTTCCTTGTTTTGCCATTCCGAACTTCCTCAAGAGAGCCTCTTCTTGAATCTTCGCCGGAGATTTGTTTCTTCTTCCATCGTCGATTGCCCATTCTTCCTTAAAGTCTTAAAGCCAGCAGACCCATCGTTGCTTCTGAACTTTCTGGAAGGAGTCGCTTTAAGGTTTTCCAGAAAAAACTTCGTTTTGACATTCGGGTGAGTTTCAGAATCCTCCTTCTTTTCTTCCTCCTATCCTTTTGTTTTCCGATAACTGGAGGTGTCTCCGGTTTGATACATAGCGATTTAACCCTCGGGAAACTTCCTCAGGGATTTTCAAGAACAAATACCCTCTTCTTTCTTACTTTTTTAGAGATGCCTCGTCGTCGCCCTGCTCCCGAGAATCCTCAGGCTGGTCCTTCGGGGTCGGGGAAATATAAAGTAAAGGGTGGTGAGCAGATTGATAGGTTTAAGGTCAAGTACGGCATTCCCCCGTGCGTAGACGTAGAGGATTATGACCCTGTGGTGCACTCTTCTACCCTCGGGGCCGAGGATGCCATGCCCTTTTATACCAAGGCCATAATAGAGGGAGGAATTAGGTTTCCTTTACCCCCCTTACTTCTTCAGTTCCTTTCTCACTTTCGCCTCTTCCCCGGGCAATGTTGCCTTAATGTTTTTCGAATAATTATGGGGGTCTTAGAGCTCAATAGGCGCCTCGGGGTAAATATTGGGCTCAACGATCTCCTTTTTTGTTATTCCCTCCTGAGAGTCATGCCTCACCAACACTTCTACCTCAAAGCCAGGGACCCCTCCATGTACCTTGTAACTCATCTTCCCGACTCGGACAAGGGGTACAAGGATGATATTCTTATCTTCAAGGGATCTTGGCAGAGAGGTGTTGGTCCCGAGTATAATGACTTGTTATGCCCTCTGGAATGGAGAACGACAAGTACGTCGGTTCCTTTGGGTTTATTATTTCTTTCTCCAGACTTCCCATGTTCATGACTATTTTGTTTGTGCAGATATTCCTGCTCGGGAAACAGCTCCTCCCCCTCGGTCGCTGGTGAACTTTGCCGACCTAATCACGGTTTGGAGATTCACGGGTGACAACGGGTTTGGCCGTGCTGCTCACATCCTGCTGAATTATACCCCCGGGTATAAGAAATTTTCACAGCTTCCTCAGCCTTTTGAGCCTTCGCGGTGGTCTGAACTCTTCGATCAGGCGGCGAGGCTAGAGGTTGAGGAAAACTTGGAGGAAGACCCGGATCGGGCTTCGGAGGCAGAGGTAGAGGGAGTTGCTGAAGAGCTCGGGGTCAGAGAGGACGTTGTTCCTTCGGACGCCGAGGTGGGGACTTCGGGAGGAGACTTGTGGCCAGACTTCCAAGTCCTACAATCTTTAGACGCCGAGGACGCCCTCGAGGTAGCGATGTCCAGCACCCCTCGCATTGATCTGGGTTTCCTGAGGCAGAGGCAAGCCCTTGCAGCCGGGAGGGGTCGAGGATCGACCGGTGGCGCCCCCTCTGCAGGGACCAGTTCCACCCCATCCTCAAGAGTTCTCAGTCGGGGTCAAGTGCGTGACCGGGATCCTCAGGTAGAGGAGGAGAGAAGGGTCAAACATCGGCACGATGGCCTCGGCCGGGGATCCAGGGCACCTTCCGCTCAGCAGCAAAGCGGGAGAGGCCGTGG